AGCATTTTAATTTTGCTTTCATTTTGAAAGATATATGGAAAAGTGTTGTAAGGGAAGGTGTTTCTATGGCTGATCTGACTTTGCAAATAAATACTAAATAGGAATTTTAAATACATTTATTGTGCTTGCTCTTGATGCATGTATCACAGGTAAGGTGTATAATATCTTTTTCTAAGCTGTAATAACTCCACTAGGCCTGACCAACCACTCCTTTTAACTTTTAAGCAGGGTGTGTAGCAGTTCTTATATTCCTTATGTTCAATAGTTTCATCATCAAAAATATGTATAATTAAGGAAGATTCCAAGTTCCTTCTCACAGTATTTGAATAAAACACTTTATTGAGGTAATTTTTGCAAAGCTTAGCTCAGATTCAGAGGCCTCTGAGGAAGTATCACAGAATGTGCAGTGTAGGTGCTTTGAGTAGTGAGGAATTGGCTTTGATGGAACCATTTTCTCCTCTCTCTTTTTCCAAAACAGGACGTGAAAAAGCAAAAATATCAATATTACTTGTATTTAGCCATGCAGTTATATTTTTATGATGACTCTTAATAGTTTTCACCAGCAGCCTGATAACAGCAGAGCAGCTTTTGCTGAGCCAGGTATTTGCTGCCCAGTTTTTGTTGTCAAAAATTGTCCTTTCAGTGGGATTTTTGGAGGGGACAGAGGTGCTGCCATACCCCAAACCCTACATTGCTTACAAGGTATTTTAGAACCTTCCCAGAAGGTGGGGGTGGGATTAGAGAAATAAAAAAAAAAGTCTGAAGTGCATAGAGGTTCTAAAATGAACGGAGAATGTGGCAGCAGAACTTGCAGAGCTCCACTGGAAGGGTTGGTTTCCTCCAGCTTGGTTTGAGCAGTTTTATTGGGATGGCAAAACAAGGTTTAAATCTAGAGCTGGACTTGTATAATCTGAGTTTAGATACAGTTTTAGTCCAAAAGGAAAAGCCCAGGATGCCTTGGTGACAAGTATGTGAAAGCAGAGCAGAAGGAGGTGGTTCCCAGCAGGGAAGGTTTGGAAGGCACTGCACATTTCATTACCTGGATAGATGGGAATTAAAACAAAAAATGTGGAATAGCACATCCATATAAACAGCCTGAAGTTTAAGTAACACAGGGAAACTAAAAATACCCTGAGCAGTTGGTGAGCTGAAGGTTTGTTACAATTACTGTGAGCAGGGTGACATTTTTAGCTGAGGTTGCGTGGTTTCATTTAAACTTTATTAAACAAACTGGAGCTGCAATATTCCCTGGAGAGCTGGATGCAGCACTAATCTCCTGCTCAAGTGTCTGCAGCTTGGCTGGAAACCCTCCAGCTGAGGTGGCACAGGAGCTTTGTGTTAGCAGAGTCACCACAGGCACCCTGACAGGCTGGGACTTGCTTGCACTGGTGGCTTTGGAAGTGGGCAGGTGGATTTTTAAGGATTATCGCACAATATCTAGGTATTGAAACTTGGTTTTGTTACCTGGTCATTTCTGTAAGTGGGCAGGTGGATTTTTAAGGATTATCTCACAGTATCTAAGTATTGAAACTTGGTTTTCTTCCCTTGAATCAACCTCACAATCAAAAGGTCACTTGTGTGCTCTGAAGGTGTGAAGAATGAGATGTGCAGGTGGATTTTTAAGGATTATCTCACAATATCTAGGTATTGAAACTTGCTTTTGTTACCTGGTCATTTCTGTAAGTGGGCAGGTGGATTTTTAAGGATTATCATGCAGTATCTAGGTATTGAAACTTGGTTTTGTTACTGGAAGTGGGCAGGTGGATTTTTAAGGATTATCTCACAGTATCTAAGTATTGAAACTTGGTTTTCTTCCCTTGAATCAACCTCACAATCAAAAGGTCACTTGTGTGCTCTGAAGGTGTGAAGAATGAGATGTGCAGGTGGATTTTTAAGGCTTATCTACAGTATCTAAGTATTGAAACTTGGTTTTGTTACCTGGTGATTTTTGGAAGTTGTCAGGTGGGTTTTTAAGGATTATCACACAGTATCTAAGTAGTGAAACTTGGTTTTGTTACCTTGAATTGACCTCACAGTCAGAAGGTCACCTGTGTGCTCTGGAGGTGCAGAATGAGATGTGCAGTTCCATTTGAGTCACTTTCCCTGCAGTGACATTGAGGCAGTGGCACCTGTTGGTGGCAGGTGGGATGTGGAGATGCTTTTTGCTGTGCTCACCACCTCAGACTCCTCCTGGGGAGTTGTCAGGGTCTGTTTTCCCCTGTCAGGCTGTGAATCCAGCACTCATAGTGTGGTGGCTGTCTCCTGTGTCTATGACAGCAGCCTGTGAATGCTCCTCTCAGAGGTGTTTGGAGACAACTGGCTCCTGGAAGCGTTTGGGGAATCTGTGCCTTTGGAAAAAGTGAATATTCCTAATGAAAGGACTTCAGTCAGTGGAGGAAACAGTGCAGGAGACAGGCTGGTGTCTAAAGGCAGCATGAAAAACCCCTCTGTGTTCTCTGGTGCTTCCTGTGTGTTGGGCTCGTGGAACTGAGAGAAAAGGCAGCTTCTGGGGATGGCAGTGTTCTAATTTCTGAAATTATTATAGTTATTATAGTAATAGATGTATTGCTTCTAGAAATGTTCCTTTAATAATTGAAGACTTAGTTTTATTTCCTCTGAAAATGCCATCGTGCTCTATCTCTGTTGAATAATTGGTGCTTTGGTGTTGGGATTTTGAATTCAAATATTTTGCCTTCCAGACTCATAGTAAACATTGATAATATCTTTGATTTATGCTCTGCTCATTTCAGTTGTACTTTCATGTGCGTGGATCTAAATGTATAATGAACTTATCTTTACAAAGCTTTGCAGATGATTTTAAATGGGCAGCATCAGTCACTTGAATGGCTCCTGGGGAAGGGATGGCAGTAATTACCTTGCCTGTTATTCCATGACCTTTTTTGTAGTTTCTGTATGCAAACAATAATACTGAGTGGGCTCTGGCAATAATAATTTGCTTTTGGAATGTAACATGGGCTGGCAGTATCAACTTATCACCCCTATTAAATACACTGATGGTGCAGTTCTTTCTGAAGGTCTTGGGAGCATTGCTGGACAAGTCTTGTTCCCAACCTTCTCCTCACCTTGGCTGGCACTCCAGTCACTCCCATGGATTATGGGAGGAACATTTATATGGGATTTTCCTGCTCCTGAGCACTGCCTGGAGTGCACACTGGGCAGTCAGGGTGCTGTAAGCATCAGCTTAGCAAATGTTTGTGTAGAAACTTCTGCCAAATAACCCCAAACCAGACTGGGTTCAATGGTGGGGAGATCGAAGAATTAAGAGAGGGAGAAGAAACCAGAGCACAGAATTTATTTTTGTTAAAGATATGTGTGTATGAGCAGGCATATAAAAACTGCAAAAAATGAGAATAATTTCATTCCAGAACTGTTGTTGGATTTACTTTAGGATCCAGGTTGTTGGCTTTGCTTTGCCCAAATTACAAAGCCAGGAGCTTCCCCTTTCCATGATCCTGAGCAATCCCAACACTCATTGAATTTGGGGAGTTGTCCCTGGTTGTGCTTACAGGTGATAGGAGGTGAAGCACCTCCATTCATCCCCTCCTGGTTTGGGATGTTAATGTGAAATAAAGGAATTTAAACACCTTGTAAGCCAGGTAACAGAATGAGACCAATATTCCTCTGCCATGTAATTACAGCAGGCTCGTTTCAGTCAAACAAGAGATGTGCTAATGATAATCACCACTGTGCTAATTGATAGCTCTGGTGCTGTGTGGGTCACACTTGAGCTTTGTCTCTCAGATACTTTGATTTTTTTTTCTTTATGGTTAGAAGTACCCAGAATCTGTAATATAATTGTGAGGAAATAGAACCCAATTTCTGTTTTTACACAATTGTTAAGTGGAGCCAACATCTGTTTCAGTGTTGACTCGGATTAAAATGAGGGAGGAATGTTTTAATGTGATTTACTTTTAAGGATTGATTTTTGCTTTTGATGAATGAATTAACTGACAAGTAGAAGTTTTACTGAGTGCTGCATGAAGCCCTCCAGTGCTCTGTTTTATTTTGGCTGACAAAAAGCTCCACAAGCCTTTGGCCATGGCAGTGTTTGTGTCTGGCTGCTGATAGCAGGGTAAGGAAAATGCCTTGCTATAAATACAGTGACACAGCTCCCGTGTGCAGCATCATTTCCCTGGGCTCTGCATGGAAATTCCTTTTTCTGCACCACAGGAACTTCCACAGGTCCTGTGCCATTCCCTGCAGCCTGGCCTGGGACACAGGGCTTGTTTTGTTCCACGAGATCCTCCCCTTCTTAAACGCTTTCTTAGAAAGTTGCTTTGTGCTTGTACAGTCTGAAGGCAGCGCTGCTTTCCAGGAGCTCCCAGGCCAGGGTGAGTGGGATGGCATCTCATTTTCCACCTTTGCAGTTGTGGACAGGTTTGAACAGGTGTAGCTGGCAAGCAGATTTTGGCTGTGCAAGGGGATCTTGGGGCAAGAATTACATGTGGTCCAACATTTTATTCCTGTTAAATCACACCTCACTGCACTGTCTCATGAACTTGTGGTGATGATAAAGTATTTTATTTGTTTTAATACAGCAAGGCAGACTGGTTAATAGATGGAACTGCTTGAAAGATGCTGCTCTTAATAATATTCACCACTGTTGGTTGCAGATAATTTCCCTGGCTTGCGTGCAATGCAGAATTGATCATAAAGCTGCCTCATTTTCCTTTGTGTGACAAGAATGGTGCTGAATTTAGAACAAATTACAATCCACTATTGTAGTCAGAAAACTTAGCAGTGAGCTGTTGTTGCCATTGATGGTAACCACAGGTCTGCTTCCCTTCCCTCTTTTCAAGCAAGATTAGATGATTGGATCTCATTTTCCCACTCTTTAGGGGAAATCATGCATTTAATTTCTTGGTGTCTTTTATTGTAAAGGTAAACGTAAGGAGTGGAGGATTTTGAGATTCCTTGAGCTGTTATCTTTCTGTAACATCTTTACTGACCAATTTTTTTTTGCTTTCCTCTGTTCTCAGTTACAGACATAGAACTGAAGAGGCTCAAAGATGCTTTCAAGAGAACTTGTGGCCTCTCCTATTATATGACCCAGCAGTGCTTCATCAGGGAAGTTCTGGGTGATGGGGTCCCTCCCAAAGTTGCTGAGGTGAGCTGGGAATTGCTGCTTTCCTGGGAGCCAAAGGCAGTGGATAAAGGGCAGCTGGATCTGCTGTGCACACACAAATGTTTAGGAGTTGATGGAATTGTTTCCCATTTTTTATACAACATCACAATGCACCTCTCTGCCTGGAAATGGTGTTCCAGACTTGGATCCTGGCGGTCAGGGACGTGCTCCCAACCCTATTAATACCTGGTAGATGACATGGAATAAACCTAAATATCCAGATGTAAATTTGGGCAATTAAAAGACTGGGAATTTGTAACAAGACCATAATAACATATTTTATTTACTCCAGAGATGCACTTGCTGTTGGTTCCTTTGAGATTCCATTGGCTGTTACTTTGTTTTCTAAAGATGAATCTTTACAAGCTCTTAAAAATAAATTTGCTCTGAAATTTTCTGAAATACAGGGGAAAAAATCAGTGATAACTGCATTGCTCAGGTTCCACCATAATTCAGATGTATGAATGAGCTGAAAAATAGCCAGAATCAAAATTTACAACAAGGATATAAACATATATCTATCTAAAAAATAAAATAGCAATACCATCCTACACATAGTCATGTTTAAAAAGTTAATTTCTTTTATGGAGTTGCCCCTTTCTTGAGAGAGATACCAGAATATTCTTGGTAGAGAGACAAAGATTAGGCAGACCTTTCAGCTGATCTCTTGCTCCATGTCATTCTCAGTCACAGCCTCTATTTTTGGCACCCTCGGAGCTGTTGACCTCAGAGGATGGTGCAAGTCCCCCAGTTTTATTTAGATAATGTGAGTGCTGAAGTGTTGCATTGCTGAGGGTTTTACACTCTGGCAGAGTTCCTTTTCCTCAGCTTCATCTTTCCTCCATTCTTTTCCTCCCCTTTTTTCCCTAAATTTTGGCGAAGAGGATGATACTACTTTACTTCTGTAAACAGTTGGCTTTTTGTGTGGGTGTTCAAGGCTTAGCAGGAGAATTTGCAGTGCAAAAGGAGGGGTCTGATTTGCCCAGAGCTTAAAGCCTGTCTTCAGCATGAATTTTTGAGTTTGAATGTTGGTAACCCCTAAGATTAAACAAAAAATGTATCTTGGTTTGAAATAGTATAAAATATTAAGAATTTTATGTTTTGTGTTACCTTATACCTTTATATCACTTTCATGTATTAAGGATTAATTTACTGATTTGGTCACAAATGGAGGTTCTGGGGTTTCAGATTCTGCTGCCTGGTTTTTATTTTATTTTTTTAGAAATCTGTCCTTAAAGACACAATTTTGGTGATGATTCTCTCTTTTAACACTCATGATGGTTATAGAGCAGTTCTTGGTTTCCAGGTGGTGAAATAAAATTAATGGAAGATTCCTAATTGGTTTTTGATGGCTTCTCATCAGAACTCATCTCAAAATCCGAGTACAAATTATGATGTACTTGTAGCTTTCATACTCAGTATCAAATCTGTGAGATTGAAAACTGTAAATTGGGCCAAAATTGGGATTTGAGTCAAGGGATGCTCTGTAATTCCTGGCTTCAGGATGGGGAGAGGCAGGCAAAGTCATTAGGCAGCTAAAAACCCTGAGTTTTCAGCCTTTCAGTCACTAAAGCTGATCATTTGGAGCCTTGGAGCTGGGCTGTGTGCTCTGCATGCTGAAATCATGGATTTTCATATCTGAGGAGAGAGAGGCCTTCAGGAATTGGTTAAATTAAAAACACAGGAGTTTCAAACTGGACATGAAACAGAGAACTGAAACCAGTGGAACTTTAATCCAACAATCTGGGTGATTGTCCTGCACACAAAACATTTTTAAATGTTCAGGGCAGTAATGTTCTGGGAGGGTCTCTTGGGAGAATGGGGTTGAAGATATTAATAAAAGGAAATTTAGAGATGTGTCTGTGGTGTTAAACTGCAGGAAAGCTGCTCAGGTGGGGGAAGCAGGGGCACAGCTTTGGCTTTTCAATCTTGTTATGCTCTTCAGTTGCCCATGAAACAGAACATGTCAGGCTTAAATTTTATTTTAAAAAGTACTCTGTGCCTTGTGATGACAGTGAATTGTACACTCTGAAATGCAGATTGCTGTCATTCTGCCTGGGTGGGGCTGGTTTAGCAAAGCTGCAACAGCATTAAGTCATTTTGGAAGACACAAAATTGCATCACATTTTGATGGTGCGTGTTATTAGAAGTTTTCCAAATGCCGCACCAACATGAAAAAATGTGGAGAAATGATGTGTTACATGACTAAAACACTATTTTATAAGTGTTTATAAACTCTTCCCAAGGAATGATCGAGCAGCTAAACTCCAAGCAATTCCATATATTGAATCCTGATACACTGGACATTGTCCATGGAATTCCTTTCCTCTGTTTGTCTCATGAGCAATCCTTGTGTTGTGTTGAAACAATGTATAAATGTAATGTTTGCTGCTCGTCTGCTATCACAGCTGGGATGTACAAAGTTCAGCACAAGTGAGTGGATATTTCAGCTGCATATTTAAAAAAAATAATGATTCCAGTGTAAAATGAAGGTAAATTGCTCACATGGGCAATGTAGCCTTGAAGGCATTTGGTGAAGACAGAAGGATTAGACATAAAAAGTGTGAAATTCAAATCCCTTGTAGGCCTTGAAGCCTCTACAATTGTTGTGTCCAAACAAAGCACAAATTCAGTTTCAATAATTCAGCCCTTCAAGCATTTGTGAGTGGATTAAAGTAGAGGAACAGAAGAGGCTGATGTGAGCCCCTGTGGCAGTGAAAGTGTTTGGGTGATGCTGGCTCAGGGTGGGATGGCAGTGAGGCCCAGAATGAGATCCTGCTGTGCATGCACTGACATTGCCATGCCTGCAGACAGATTTTAGAAGTCCAGAGGGATGGATGGACAGACAGACAGACAAAGAGAGGGTTCCTGCAGGTGGCACAGCACTGCTGAGGTGTCTGCAGGAGCAGCAGTAAATCTGGTGCTCCTCTCTGTGTCAGGTGTTCCCTTCCTGCCCCCACAGCACTGGGAGGCTTGGCCAGCTCTGGCCTTGCCAGGCCCAGGACTGGCTTTGTTTGGGCACTCCCAGTCCTGGTTTAACTCTGACTCTACTGGAAATCACCCTGTGGTGGAGCAGGGACTCCCAGGGCTCTGGTGTTCCCCTCTGTGCTGCCAGCCTGCCCTGGGGATTCCTGCTGCATCCCCTCGGTGCCTTGGGGATCGGCAGAGCCCAGCCTGGGGCAGAGTTCAGCCCTGATGAAGAAATCTGGGGAAACACCACCGCGAGCAAGTGAGGAGTGTCATCACTGGAGGTTCTAATGTGGAGTTTTTATATTGCCATTCATGACTTGTACCTGTGTTTCACTAAATAAAGGCTGTTCAGTACCAGAAGAGCTACAAAAGGGTTACACAATTAATAATTCAAGTTCTTTAGCTGAATATGAAGTGATTAGCCCAAAAACCACATAAGGTGGAGCCTCAGTGTAAGCTGCTGGTTTTACTTCTGACATCTCTGTTGATTCTGGTTAACTTCTCTGTTTCATTCTTCCAGGTTATCTACTGTTCATTTGGAGGAATATCCAAAGGGCTGCACTTCAATAACTTGATAGTTGGATTAGTTCTACTCACAAGAGGCAAAGAGGAGGAGAAAACAAAATGTAAGTGGTGTAACTTAGTAACAATGAGACAGAGGATTGTGGTGTAAAGTGTGACCATTTTACAGTGAAGATGGGATTTTTGGAAGCATTTTTAGCTGTATTTTTGGAAATTAAGTGCATTTTTGTTTTCTATATTCATCAAAATGAAATATTTGCCAAGTCATCATGAATGTCAGTGTTGGGATGCTACAGAAAGCCTGATGGTCTCTGTGTGGGCAGAGGAAGGAGGATGGCATTGATATTTTTCAAAAAAATAGAAAACATCTGCCTAATGACTTCTGTTGTTTTGTCTTCTCTGTTAATCTCACTTGATAATACTCATTTTTATTTTGATTAAAATGGTAAAAGGAAGGTCTTGACCTAAACCTTGTGGACCTGTATTGACCTTGGATCAACCCAAGTGTTTAGTCCTTTAGCTGTTGCACAGCCTTTGACATTCTCAGCCAGTTATAGACCTTGCATTTGAAAAATGTCCCTGCCATAGATGTTTACACATATTTCTGTTTCTCCAGATATTTTCAGCCTCTTCTCTAATGAATCTGGGAGTTATGTGGTCCGTGAAGAGATGGAGAAGATGCTGCATGTGGTTGATGGGAAAGTCCCAGAGTCACTCAAGAAATGCTTCTCTGAGGTGTGTCATGGACCTTTCCTCCTGCTGCAGTTACAAAAAAGTCAAGATTCCATTAAGTAGCTTCTTTCTTACTCATGCACCTGTGGGAACAAATTTGCCTTGTTTAAATGGGGTAAAAGCTCATGGGGTTTTGTGTTGTGGTATTCCATGTAATTTGTATTGATGGGAACAGTGTTTGGTGTATAAATTCTGTGTGCTCCTGTACTCACTGTGCTCCTTGGAAAGAGATCATTTCCCAATGGGAATCATGTCATCAGGTGAATTTAAATACTAATATTGCTGGTGGGAACTTTGTCATTAGTGTGAACATTCTATTGCAATCAGGGAAGAAATCTAGAACACAGAGAAATCTGCACCCTGCATTTAAAAATGCCTGACAGCCATGGTTGCTTCAAGATAATAATTTTATATTATTGCTTTTGCTTCATTTTCCTGCCAGGAGCTACAACATTTAATTATGCTTTAAGTTGTTTGAGAGATGCAATCTTTGTGGAGCTTGCTGAAGTCCTCCTCTACAGCAGAGCATTGGTGCTTTCCTATTCATAGATGATTCTTTGTCTCCAGGGATCCTGATGAATTTTCAGGGGTTTTTGCTTGGTTTGTTATCAGATGACTGAGACCAGCAAAATGGAGACATCATTGCACATTCCTCTGGCAAAAGGATTGACCAGATTGACTGGGAGGTTTAATTGTGGCTCTCAGGTTTCTTAATTAGTTCAGATTTGATTGTTCTGTGCTGGAGATAGCTCTGGCTGTGGGCAGTGCCTGGGCCAGACTCTGATCTGGCCCTGTTGGCTCTGGGGGCAGTGATTGCATTCCTGAGCCCTGGCTGCAATGGAAATCCTGACTCCCCTGCCCTGCAGCTTCTGCACTGCCCCTCAGTGCCATTTCCTATTTCTGATTTCCCATCAGTGTGCTGTGATGAATTGCACCCTCCAAGTTAATTGCACACTGTCCAAGAAATCCAGAAATACTTTATGAAGCCTTGCAGGAAGATGAGTATCAACCTGGGCTTTAGAGCATTTTCCTGTTCAAGAAAATGCTGCATATTGATTTTTGTTTTAAAATGAAAATAGTGTAATAATCCACTCAGCAGGATTTACTGGGCTCCTGATCATCCATGGGCATTGCTGGAGAGTGAGAAAGTTTAATGTTCCTGCTGTGGGCCTTCCTGCCTGCCTTCTGGAGGATGCCTTGGATTTCAAGGATGATGTTTATAGGCACTTCTGTTCATCAGAATTATTACATCTACTCAGCTAGAAATAGAAGCTTTAGAATATATCTGAGTTTTCCTTTTGTTTCTGAAATATAGGGGAAAAAATCAGTGATAACTGCATTGCTCAGGTTCCACCATAATTCAGCTGTCACATTGCTTGCTTCAAATGCTTTCTTCCTCCTGTCCAAAGGTTTTCTGTTCCTCTTCATTGTCCTTCCAGGGAAAATTGGAGTTTTAATGACCCAGCTCTTGCTGCCTTTACAAAGAGCAGTGCAAAAACAAGAGGGAAAGGGTGGAACAGAGAGGGAGAAAATGTTCTCTTCTCGTGATCCAAACTGTTGGAGAAATGGAAGAATAAGAAATCAAAGTGAGGGTGGGGAGGGCCTGGCACAGGGTGCCCAATGCCAGGCTGGATAGGGCTGGGAGCAGCCTGGGACAGTGGAAGGTGTCCCTGCCCTGGCAGGGGTGGCACTGGATGGGCTTTAATGTCCCTCCCAACCCAAACCAGTCTGTGATTTGTTGGGTGCAAATATAAAACTCTTCAGTCTAGAAAAAGAGGCATAAAAAGAATGAGTATCTGGAGCTGAAACAACCCCCTGCAATGGGAATAGGAAGCAAATGTTTCAGCAGTGTGGTGATGAGCCACTGGAGCAGCCTGGCAAAGGGAATAGAGTGAATTTTCAATTTTCTGCACTTGGCAGTTGCAGACAGTCCGTGGCCAAATGCAAATTGTTGGATTCTGTAGAGATGTAATTCAGTGAAGTTTAATGGTCTGTGATATGAGGGGAGTTTAAATAATCAATGACTTGAAACCTCTTCCACTTTGCAGACCCCTGTTTATTTCCCCTGGAGATGAGAATCTCCATATAATGAGTTTGTCTACTGATAATGGGTTTGCTTTTATTTGAGGTAGTTTTGTAGGTCCTGTAGAAATTAGTCTGCTGATCCCCATGGTTTCATGGCCACAGCTTGGCAAGGATCCAAATAAATGGTTTAAACAGCACTGGAATTGTGTGAATGTGGAGTTTTCATGTGTTCCTGAACAGGGAGCTGCAGGAGACAGGGAGTGAGGAGATCCTGGGAATGTCATGTTCATTTTTATGCTCCAGTGTGGATTTTGGTCAGTAGAGGCAAAAAATTCAGTGATAAAAAGTTCCTATGTTCCTGCAGTAATTAATCACAGCATCAGTTATTCCCAAATGTGATTTTTCTGTGCTGTTTGTATACCTGCACAGATAGAACAGAATGTTTATGATTTTTACAGCATCTGTTTTTTTGGTGCAGCAGAGCTGGTATCTATAATAATACATTTAAATTCATCCAAATAACCTCTGCTCTTTTGAATTGCAAGTAACCATTTTTCTTTTCATCCCTTTCACCTGAGGTTCAGAGTAAATGAGTTTCCAAAGGCCACATTGAGTAGGTGGCTGAAATGCAGAGAGAACTTAAAGTTAATTTCCCTCCCATTGCTGTTTCAAAAGGAAAGGGAAAAACAGGCATGGCTCCAAGCAGAAAAATTACATTAGCACTTATTTTTCTAGGAGATTGTCCCAATTTTTTGTTCATACAGCTGGATGGTTCCTGTTTACTGGCAGTGAGAAAAACAGCTCCCATTTTCTGGTTTTTCTTGCAGAGTGAGAAGGTGAACTATGAGAAGTTCAGGGTTTGGCTGCTGCACAACAAAGACGCTTTCACCTTCTCGCGGTGGCTGCTCTCAGGAGGGGTCTATGTCACCCTCACTGATGACAGTGACACCCCAACCTTCTACCAGACCCTGGCTGGAGTCACACACTGTGAGTAAAGGTGCTTCTTGTCCTGCACACCCTAAAAAAGAACCCTGCCAGAGTTCACAGGCAGAGTTGTTGTTCATTGAATCTCCCTGCTCCACCACGTTGGGCTCAGTGAGAGAAATTCCTTCTCTGAGCTCATCTCTTCTCTGCTGGCATGTAAAATGTTGTGTGCAAGGACACTGGGTTGTTATTTTTAAGAGATAATAATGCTGAGGCTACAACACTTCTCTAGAAGTTTGCTACCAAGCAAGCTAAAAAAAAAAATAATTTCTGAAGTGGTTGGCTGGTAATACTGGGTTTATTTTTGGTCTTTATATAGTGGGTTGTAAAACTACTGAGAGAGTTGAGAAAATAATATTTGTTTCAAAAATAAGTGTTACCTCTTAATTTGCTTCTCCAGTAAAATAAATCATAATCCTGGCATGTGGTAGAATTAACTAAAGAGAAGCATCCTCAGGAGTTGTCTCCAGAGAAGAAGTGCTTCCTTATGCCTATGTTAATGTAAAAGAAGGAACAGCTGGTTTTTAAATTAAATCCAAAAGCAAAAGGCTGATAAATGACACTTGATGTAGCAGTGTAATGCAAGCATGCATTCCATCCCTGAGGAGGAGGGAGGTGGTTCTGGAGGCGTCAGGGATCTCAGCACTCTGGTTGTGTTTTCTGTGCTCTCGTGGATTTTCCTCACATTTAATCCTCTCATGGTGGGTTAATTGAATAAAGCAACACACCCTTTTTATCCTCTTGGTTTTAAAAGTGGGCATTCAAACTCTTCTGTGACCATCTGAAATGAAAATGCATAATGAAGTCAGGAGTTTATGGACAGGTAATTTATTTGCATTACATGGAAGGGTGAAAGGAGACATTGAGGTTACAGAAAACCACTGAATATTCTGAGGTCTCACAGAAAGGTGGAGAAAGAGGAATGTGAAAAAAAAAACCCAACCCTCTGAGTGTTCTGGAGCTGAGCTCTGGGAGAGATCTTGACCTGTGTCAAACTGAGATCTGCTCTTTTTTGTGCTTTGAAATGGAAACTTTCAGAACAGTTTTTACTGGGCTTTTCACAGAAAGTTTATTTATACTGAAACAGAGGTTTGGAATTAAAAAAAAATTAAATGTAACAGCTACTATTTTAATAGGTTTTATTTACTATTTATTATTGTTCTCAGTTCTGGCTTTGATATCCCTGTCACTGGTACCATCGTGTCAGAGCTGGGATTGAGCTTTTCAGTGAATTCCAGAAATACATGGAGGTGATGCTTCCACAGAATTGGAAAGTTCATGAGACAGTTATGTTTGGACCTCTAGATAAGATTAAATTTTACTGAATTCCATTGTGATTTACAACAGTGTAGGAATCTCATCCAACAGATGCAAAACTAAGGAAAATGTAAGTGCTTGAGCACTTGGAAGTCATTTCAGCCTAATCAGGTCACTCCAAGGAGTAAGAAACTCAGTACACAAGTATTTTTAACACAGCTGAATGTGTCAAACACTGGGAGCTGTTGGAGGCTGGTCCTTAGTGTTTTTCCTGGGGGAATGGTTGCCTTTGGAAGGACCAGGAAATGAGATAACGTTTGGTAAACTGAGGCGACACCATAACACAGAGAAAGGAGGAAAGGTTTCCACTTTGTTCTGTGGTGAAATGCAGAGTAATTTGTGCCACTCCCTGTGCAATCAGGAATTTCTCAGTCCTGCTGCATCTCCTGGCACAAGCCCAGACCCCCTCCCCAGCCTTACCTCACACTCTGCTTCCCATCCAGCTTCTGGGACAATATGTCAGAGCCATGAGGAATGGCAGTGATAACCAGGGGAAGTTATTCCCTGGGATTTAGGAACAGCCCCATTTCATGCAAGGCATCAGTGACTCCATTTCAATTTGCTTAATGAGCCAGGCTAGCAGGGAAACAAAGGAATACTAATTTTTCATTTGTAAATAGCATTTGTTTTGGTGTGCAGATGACTTTAATTACATTTCTCAACACATAATTAGAAATGAAATTTTAAAGTTACAGGAAGTTGCACACACTTGCTGCTTTTAATCAAATTTTGTTCCATTTCACTTAAATCAGAAATATGAATAATTTTATTTGAAAGCTGCTAAAATAAGTGGCCTTTGTTCCTAAAAAAGCAGTTCCAGGGGTATGGATTTGTCTTGCACCTGAGGAGTGACCAAGTAGCAGTAGTTTGGATTTTCTTAGTTCTGTAGTATGATCACATGCATTTGAATTCATTTAATATATATATTTTTTTTTGAAGCCATCACATTGAACAGCACTATGGTGGAGCCTGTAAATCCCACATTTCTGTCACACTGACTCAGGGGACACCTCACTGATTTCCTTCATTTAGCTGGAAATGCTTTTTCTGCTGCAGTATAGGTGCTGGGTGCCTTTTTTATGTGTCATTTTGGTGTGACTCAGTGTCATGCAGTGGGCTTAGACACTCAAGTTTCCAACCCTTTTCCATGGAGAAAGTAATTCTGTTCATCAGGTTGCTGGTTTTGAACTGACAGAATGTTTAATTTGTACCTTTTTGTCACCCAGTCCTTGTGTCACTGAGTTCTGATTAAATAACATCCAAATTCCCCTTTGAATGGAGGAGATTCCCGTGTTGTCAGAAAAATTCACCTTTTCTTTCTGAGAGCTCTCACCCACCCAGGGCAGTTCTGACTGCAATCAGTACAAACAATTCTATTTTAGAATATGCATTTATCACTATTTAATAAAAAAGAGAGCAGTTCTGGGTGAGCAGGCAGGGTGGCTGAAATGGGAGAGGAACTTTTGGAAACAGCACAAAATGCAAGCTGGGATTGTCAGCTCTGGGGAGGATGGGATGGGAGGCTGAAGGCAAAGTGCAGTCAGGGCATTGGAAGGCTGGGGGTTAAATTTAAATCCATGTTCTGCAGTGGGCACCCACTCCACAACTGCCATGTGGGGAAGGCACTGGATAACAATCCTGGAGGTTTTGGCTCTGTGGAATTTGCTTGGCAGGGCTGGTTCCATTCTGTGCTGGGAGAGGAGCTCCTGGCACCTCCCTGCTCCCACCCTGAGGCACTGCTCCCCCTCATCCTGCTCTGTGAGCACCTGGGAGACCACACCTGACACACAGGGATCCCTCCTGGCTGAGGGTTTAACATCCCCTTCCCTGTGAGTTTGTTTTTAATCAGCCAGAGCACAGAGATGAAAGTCTGACAGCAGCCCAGGCCAATAAGTAAAAACCTTGGTGTCACTTAATCTGTATTTTGCCACTTGTTATCCTCTTAGTTCCAGGCTATTTTGTGTCTTGCAAAGCAGCTCTCAGTCCCAGAGTGTTCTGGGGGTTAATTTGGAAGGCACAAGGGAGAGTTTGCAGTGAGCAGCAGTGTTTGGTGTCACTTTGGAGCACCCCAAGGCCTGGTAAAATGTTGGGAATATGGTATGTCTCTGCTGCTGTGAGCCAGACAGGATTGTACCCATAGGTGGGTAAATCTTGAACTTCTCTCATGTGCTGCAATACCTGGGGAATTGTGGTGCTATAAAGAATTGTAATAAGCAGTGGCTGGAATGAAAATATGCTTTTAAATTTGTTTTCTAAGGTAGGAGATTATTCATGGCTTGGTATCTGTGGAATATTTTAGAGGGGCATTTTGTGGGAATGGCATTAAAATGTAACATGGGGGTTTAGTGTTTATCACTGCCAGGCACCTGCCTGTTGATCAACGTTCTAAATTAACTCATTTTTAGTAGTTTTAAAGTTTTAGATGATATTTTGATTGAAAATGTTAATTTGTTCTTCCTTTACAAGAAGAGGACTGTGCTTCAGTTGTTTACTTATTATCCCTCTGATTATATTGGTCTAATTATTAGAGAATTGAACAAAAAAAGTATTCATAGTTTTAGAGTTCTGAAAGCTTTTCATATTTCTAATGGGCAAGTGATGAGGGAGACATAAATCAGCATGTGGTAGTAAACTGCTTAAATTTCTCAGGTGTATCATGTCCATGTGACCTCAAATAATCATCTCATGTATTTAATTACCAAAATGAATAATTACTTGGCCTAGAAAGCCTGTGTGTCCTGAGGTTTTGGCCTATATTGTGTATATAAAATACATCCTTTTAAGTAATCTGAATGAAAGCCCAGTTTACAGTTTGATGTGATATGAACAGACATTAGGGAAAAAAGTATTTACTTTGGAAAGATAAAATCTTTTATCTGTACCAACCCTCAGTGGAATGTGGTGTTTTGTCATGCACACTGCTGTGTTTGGCTATTGAGTGTGGTGTGCCTGTCCCATGCTTCACTGAACTTCAGTAACAAATATGATTATCTGAATAATCATAAACTGCCAGAGACTTCTTTTAGTTTGCCCTCATGGAGGAATAGATGGTGCACTGCATATCCTGAGACTGATTTACAAGATTATGTGAAAAGTTAGTCTGGAGAAATCAAATTATGCAACAGCTGCTGCTCAGCTGCATTTGAACCTCCCTGTGCTGCAATCCAAGAATTGCTGCTCCCTTTACCCACTGAATGCTGCACTGGGTGCAGTTTGTTACAGCTCTGAATGAGAAATTGTCTTTTGTCACATTTTTACTCATGGCTAACCTGATTTGTGAAAGGCTAATCAGTGCTAAGAATGTTATTTACTGCATGGTTTTACTTTCTAAAGTGCTCGTGCAGAAAGTCAGTGCAGTTGGACTGGAATAAAAATGTAACACTTGTGCTAACACTTATCAGCTGTTCTGTTAAAGGTGATATTTGAAAATTCTCTCTCTTTAAGTGACCATGATGTCAGTTTATGTGAACACAAACACAGACAAGATGCTTTCTGATAACCTTTCTTTTCTGAGCTGAAATAACAAAACAATGGAGTTACCACTGTAGAAACATCTGTGAAGTACAAGCAAAAAAAATTTAACTTCTACTGGAGGTATTTGAGAGAGGTTCTCTGGCAAAATACAACATTCTTGCAGTTCTTAATTACTAAAGGTAAATATTGCACCTGCCAGAGAGAGGTTTCTGCAGATTTACTCTTCAGTGTGGACAATTGGAGCTTCCTGCTGGCTTTTGAATATTCTCAGTGTTGCATCACTTGAAAAATGAAGTGCAGCTCGCACATTTGTTATTCTTCCTACTTACAGAGGTGGATTAAAAGGAAGCAAAGTGATTTACATGGTCATGCACAAGAGAACATAAATAATCTTTTGTGTTTGCTAATGAGAGCAGTAACGTGGAAATGGAATTCCCGTAAATGGCAGCACCAGCTCCCCTCTCCCATTGTTTGGGGAGGGGAAGAGCCCTGGGATTCTCCTCACATCTCTGATATTTCAAGAAATAATTCCTCTATTCCTCTTCCTTGATTTCTAGTGGAATAATATTCCTTCATAAATCTGGATTGTTGCTTCCTCATGTACTGAGGCCAGACTTTCAGTAGGTGATGGGACATGGGGAAATGAGTTTGAACTCAGAGTAGATGTGAGGGAGGAAGTTTTTGTGATGAGGTGGTGAATTCCTCATGCAGGAAACCCCAGGCCAGGTGGGATGGAGCAGCCTGATCCAGTGGAAGGTGTCCCTGGAGGAGCTGGGGGTGACCTTTAAAGGCCCCTTCCAGCCCAAATTACTCTGTGATTGCAGCCCAGCCAGGAGCCAGGGCACGGTAACAGATCAGGGGGCGGTCCCTGCGGGAAGGAGGGAGAGGAGAAAGGAAATGAGTTTTTCTCCTGGGTCAGCTCCTCTCTGCCTGTGTGCATGCCCAGGAGCTGGCAGTGATGCCCTGAGGGACTGGGGAGGCAGGGCTGGGGTTGTCACCTCTGCCCCTGCTCTGAAGGCACTCAGGAAAGGGACATTTGGCACTGACATTTGTCACACCTTACAGGGAAATGCAAACCCTTCCACTCCTCCAACTCCAGGTATTTTATTCAGATTTCTCCACTCTTTGTGCTGCTGAGGCTTGTGTAAGTTTTGGTGCATCACATGATGCTCCTGCTGGGCACTTCCAACCCCTTCATACTCACTGCAGGTTACCTAAGTTCCTATTTTAAGTAAATTACTGCCACTAATGACAGAAACGGGCAAAGAAATCAATAAAATTTCAATTTGACACAACTTTTTAGGTGGAGCCTTTCAGGTCTTAAGCCTTACAGGATTATTATTGTTTCTGCGGACTAAACCAGGCCAAATAGCTCAAGTTAAACCTATTAGAAAACTGGCATGGATTTAAGGGCTCAGAACCATCTGGGAATGAGATCACACGTAGTGCTTCTTAATATAGACAGCTTTGTCATTACAGATCTATTTGAGAACCAATTAATTGGCACTGACCTAAAGCACTGTTGTGACACACTTGCATATGTAAAAAGGTTAAAAGTATTGTTGGGCAGAAATTTAATCTTGTTTTATATCTATATATTTATTTAATTTCAAGGCTAAAGCATAAAGAGAGCATTTGTATAGAATGTTTTGAAGGAAAACACAAGTTCTTCCTCTGGCTATTTTTATCCATCTTTGCACCTTGTTTTATTTCTTGGGTTTGGGGTTTTTTCCCTTTTTAAATTGCCTTTTAAGTTCCTCTGCATTGTAGGTTTGTGTGGCCATTCCCCAGTGTTTACTGTATATTAAATAATTATAAATAATTCTATAGTATAAATAATAAAGTGAAGCAAACTATTTTATATTTGGAAAAAAATAATGCTGAGATACAACATTTAAATGCCACATTAAAATTTTGCCTCATTACTGTATAAAAAAGTTAGAAATTTCAAATAGGATTTATTTAAGGGCAGCCAAGTACTGCATAATTCTTTTCCATAAAAGATCTGAGTTGTTTTTTTTTTTAATGCTACTTCACATCTTTTTTGAGGATTTTAATATTGAATATCCTGGGAAAGGAAGCCACTGCACATAAGCTGCCTGCTCAAATCACCAAAGAGAAATAGGTGAAAAATGGGAAAAATTTCTGTGTTTCTACACACGTGTGATGATGTTATTGACAGTAAACTCCTCGGTGGTGAATAGGCGAGAAGGTTCTGTGGTCAAGGAAGGTAATTTATTTATTTATTTCTATTTATTTGATATATTTATTTCTGTTTATTTGGTTCTGCAGTGGAGGAATCCGACATCATCGACCTGGAGAAGCGCTACTGGCTGCTGAAGGCTCAGTCCCGGACCGGACGCTTCGATTTGGAGACTTTTGCCCCCCTGGTGTCCCCCCCAATCCATCAATCCCTGAGTGAAGGTATGGGGAGGGGAGAGCAGGGAGCAGCCTCTGCTGCCTCACAGCTGGGGTGGCTTTGGGGGTGTCTGCTCTGAAATGCCCTTTCAGTTCCAGGACAGAATCACTTCACTGGAAAAGGGGGAAAGAGGGAAAATCTCTATTTAGTGGAAATCTGGGATGCTGAAGGAGGTGTTGCATTGTTATCAGTTGGTAGGAAACATGGCAGATTTGATGTAGAAGTTGCCCTGTAGTTGCTTAAAATTATTTCTTAAGATTCTGTAAAGACAAAATAAACTGCTGGGCCTGACAGAAAACCAAGCTTTTTTCAACTGGCAAATGGGAGTTTCAGCTATTAAATGACACCTCAGTGTGCAAGTCAGCTGTTGTATCATGCAGCCAATGAAACACTCCTCCCTAAAAAGTAAATTAAGGAAGATTTAATTCAGGAGATTTGCAGGTTGTTATTTCTACTGACAACCAAACTGGTCTGTCCTGTTGAAGCCACTCTGGTAATAACTGGAGCTGTCCCATTGCCATTTGCTGCATGATATGGGGACATCCAGGGGCATTCCACTTGCACTCCAGTTCTGCTCTGCAGTCCTGGAGTGACAATTTTATTATTACCAAAAAGTTGGCTTTAAGTGGCAGCAGTAAGTAACAAAGGGGAAATGCAATGGTAAAATGGTAAATGAAATCTGCAATGGTAAAAAATCAGAATTTATGTCCAGTTCTGTAGGGATGTATCCCCACATCCTTTTTTTTCTGAGTGTCTTTTATCTACTTAGTGATTTAAACTTACACAGCTGCTGTGGGGAAACTTGAATGGTTTCTGCTCATTCTTTGCCTTCTGTGGAGTCATTGTTGCTAAAAAAAAAATAAAATTTATGGGATAAATAATGCTGAATGATTTGAACTCTTAAATGCTTTGAAAGCTGGTGGCTACAACTCTTAACTCAGGGCCAAATTTGCAGTGCAGTTCAGTGATTTCCACAGGAATTTCTGTTCAGTGACTTCCACAGGAATTTCTGTTCAGTGATCTCCACAGGAATTTCTGTTCAGTGACTTCCACAGGAATTTCTGTTCAGTGATTTCCACAGGGATTTCTGTTCAGTGATTTCCACAGGGATTTCTGTTCAGTGATTTCCACAGGAATTTCTGCCAGGCACGTGGGAAGGGCTGCCCATACAGGTTCTCTCCATCACTCGTCACAAGGAGGGTGTGAGGAGCAGGCAGCTGCTCAGAATTCTTGATTCCCTCCCCACCCTTGGCTGGATCAGCCATCCCTGAGACATCTAATTCACCTTTAAATGGCCTTAGTAGTGCTTAATTGCCTTTATTACACTTAATGAGAGTAAATGACAAGTGTTTGTCCCTCTCCTTGGCCATGAGCCCCTGGTGGAGGTGCAGGGTGCCTCTCTCAGGTGCAGTAACAGGAGATGCTTTTGTGGTTTGCAGGTTTGTTTAATGCTTTTGATGAAAACCGAGACAATCACATAGATTTTAAAGAAATTTCCTGTGGGCTCTCAGCATGTTGCAGGGGACCCTTGGCAGAGAGACAGAAGTGTAAGTATGCAAAATTTAACTGTTAATTTGGGAGCAGTTTTTCAGTTTGAACAATGAGGTTTAGCTGTTTTCACCTTTTGAGATTCTTTTCCCACTGAACAAGTCTGTGAAAAGTGACTTTAAAAGTAAAAAAAACCAGAGGAATTTTAAATATCAAGGTTTCCTTTTATAAAGGGTGATTAAACCTAATTCCATGTATTTTACAGTGGTTCCATGTAAATTATCTAACTGGGGAAAACTACATTTCAGAAGTTATTTTTTCAGTGTTCTGCATTCTGAGGCAGAAGTGTGTATCTCAATATAGAAAGTACAAACACTTAGCTACTCATTATCTATAATAGAAAACAAATGTCCTATTTGATTGTCTTGTGGTAAATAGCATGTTGTGGCTTTTCACTGCCCAGTCCCAGCTGGCTCCCTGCAAGGTTCCTGTGTTTTGAAACACTTTTTGTTCCCTACTTCTCCAAAACCACATTGTTGCAACTTCCAAGCTGCAATTCCCTGGAAATTTCTGGATGCTCATGTGTTCCCTGCTAGGTCCCCTCAGCCAACACAGCGAGCAGAGCATTGCAGGGGGCTGGGTTTGAGTTTGTGAAACAGCTGCTCCATTTCCTCACCTCCACACGTGCATCCCCCCTTCAGAGCTGTAGCAGCTGCTCTGCAGCCTCAGGGGCTGCAAGGAATAAAGAAACAAGAGTTGTGGAATGGTTCTGACAGCAAAGTCCTTCCCTTTTCCTCAGTTTGCTTCAAGGTGTTTGACGTGGACCGAGATGGGGTCTTGTCCCGCACCGAGCTCAAGGACATGGTGGTGGCACTTTTAGAGGTCTGGAAAGACAACAGGACAGACAAGATACCTGTGAGTGGTGCTGGGGTTGGTGTCCTTCTGTTTCCTGAGGCATCCTGCCCAAGGAGCAATGTGCATCTTGTTTGGGTGGGGGTCACTGAGGTACAGGCTCCCCTCAGCTGGGGAGGGGGACACGTGGCTGTCCCTTGCCTTGCAGAGATGTCACCTGCCCCAAGGACAAGGCTGGGTTAGAATGTGTGTTCTGACCTGCCCAAATCCCAAGGTTGGGTTAAATGTGAGTTCTGACCTGCCCAAATCCCAAGGTTGGGTTAAATGTGAGTTCTGACCTGCCCAAATCCCAAGGTTTGGTTAAATGTGAGTTCTGACCTGCCCAAATCCCAAGGTTGGGTTAAATGTGTGTTCTGACCTCTCCAAATCCCAAGGTTGGGTTAAATGTGAGTTCTGACCTGCCCAAATCCCAAGGTTTGGTTAAATGTGTGTTCTGAGCTGCCCAAAGCTCAGTGGTCTGTCTTTAATGTGTGTTCTTTTATATAAAGAAAGGTACAAAAGCACAGATTTTTTTATCTGGGAGCCCTTGGTTTGAATTACTGAGAGTTTCCAGCATCTCTTACAGTTTTATTTTTATTCTGAGCACATCCTGCTGGGAGACTTTAACTCTGATTTCTAATCCTTTTGTTGAAGGAGTTGGACATGGGTTTGTCTGAAATCGTGGAAGATATTTTACATGTGCATGATAACACAAAGGTAGGAATTTGCTCTTCTTCCCTTGTCATTTTTATACCCCAGCATCTTCAGTTTATTTATAAGGAAGTGCTTTCTTTAGAGCAGAGATGTGTCAATAAAAGAATCTTTTTCAAGAAATGTCAGTTTTCCATTAAAATTTACCAGGTTGTTCTGTGAAGGAAAGGATGTGTTTGAATTTTATAAGCCATTTTAATATTTGAAGCTAAACCCAAAATGCATAATCAGGTGAAATTAATTGGAAGCCTGCACTGTTTGCAAGGCTCTGCTGTGCATAACTAACACCAGTTTTAAATCTGATGCTTGACTTCTGTTCTGGGGAAACTGTTCTTTGTTTCCTGTTAAAATTGATCTTGAGGGAGAGTGCAAAGTTTCTCTTATATTTTATGCTGTGTCAAGTCACATTATCCTCCTATGGAAGCATCTGTCATGACACAGCAGAAAGTCCTGGTGGTTTATATTGTGCTTTAAATGTAGCTGGGTGTAAATCTGTAATTATCTGTAATTCTCCTCCTTGCTCTCTGGAAAAAGGAGATTTGGAGATATCCACCAAAAGATATTGTTGAAGTTGCTTCCATTATTTCATCCTTTGCTTCACTAATTGGGAAGAGTGTCTGGAAACGATAAATAATTTATTAAAAACTATAAAGAATGTCTAGAAATGCTTAATTATGTGTGTGAATAGTTGTCTGTCTTGCCTGCTTGTACTCCAACAAAGTGGTGGGCAAATACTTTATTGTAATTCTTTAATTGCCGAGGCAGTGGAAATTGTGGCTTCTCTCTGTTTCATCCTTTGAGGTTTTTGTTGTTTGGCTTCTTGAAAGAAAGGGCAGTTTATGAGCAAGTGTACAGCAGTCCTGAATCCACAAAGGGTTAAAAAAGAAGATTTCAATCTTCAGGGGATTTTTTTTAGTGGCATCATCAGTGTAGTGCTGGAAAGAGCTGATGGTGCAGTAATTACATAAATTATTTAACCTCTTTTCATGTGTTAGCTTTGACCTGGGTTAACTCTGGAGAAAATGGTCTGGAAGGAGAGGCAGAGTACCTGGCAGAGCTGTAAAATTGGCTCTGAATTCCAGTGCCAGATAAAAACTCAGCCTGATCCCTGCAGTGAACCAGAGACCCCTGTGACATGGGCAGCGCTGCACCTCTGGGACTGCAGGGGATGAGGAATTCCAGGGATTTGTGTTGTTGGGTGAGGTCACAGGGGCTGGGTGACCCAAACTGGTTTTTCCTCCCCTCAGAGGAGGCTGTGGGTGTGTGAGGGGTGCAGGGATGGGCGCTGGGTGGGAGTGAGGAGTGAGGAGAGATTCCACACAGGGCACTGCTCACCTAACAACACAAATCTGCACTCTGAGCTGCTCAGCCCTCTAGGCAGCCTGTGTTATGCTAGAACTGGAATTGTTTTCTTTTACTGGATCAAATTTTATTTAAATAGTGGTACGGCCAATTTTTATCATTCCCTGGTTTTGTCCTGCCCTGAATGAGACAGGTAATGAATATTTTACCAGAACCAGGTTCATGTTTTGATGGTTTTCCCTTCCCTTTCCTTCTCCTCCCTTGCAGCTCGGACACCTCACTCTGGAGGACTACCAGATATGGAGTGTGAAGAGTGCTCTTGCCAATGAATTTTTAAATCTGCTTTTTCAGGTGTGTTTAGGGGAAATCTAAGGTTGTAATTTACAGTAATTAACTGCTGAGCTTTCTGCATGGCCACGAAGTGCAGCATCAGCATTTGTGTGCACAGGAGGGGATGTGGCTCTGCAGCTCTGGGCTGCCTTGGCAGATGATTCTCTCTGATTCTCTCTTTGGTTGTTGTTCTTGCAGTGCATGGAATGCCCAAAGCCTCATCTGTTCTACAGAACCTGGTGCACTGCTCAGAAAATGAAATTTTGAGTGCATCAGCAATTATGTTTTCCATTAGACAAAGGCTGTGTTTGAAATGATTTTTGTGGCAAACCTTTGCCAAGAAAGTAACCCAGGGAATGAGAGAAAAATCTCTAATAGTTTCCTTTTTCATTTTACAACCAGTTTCCCTTTCCATTTTCTGTTAAGGCCCTCTAAGGTGCCTCTCATTGCTTCCCTAATGAAGCAGGCCTGGAAAGCTGGGATATCCTATCACTGCTCACTTGCAGAAGCTGAGGATTAAGTGTGTGCTGAATTGGGTTTTAATTGAGCTTGAATTGGATTTCTCTAAATCCTTGAAAGCCATATTTTAGCTGGCTCACTTTGTGCAGAAAATAACCCTAAAGAGCATTTTCATCCACTGCAGTTTGTTCCTTACCTGTTTTCCTTTGAGGTTGATACTTGGAGTTTGAATTATAATAATAATAATAATAATCCTAATTGGCCTGTGACTAATTTATAAATTGCATTTTGAATGACACTTTCCCAAGAGCTTCAGGGTGACTGAGTGAGGGTATCCTGAGGCCACCAGCTACACCACAGCTGGAAAGAATAACACCAGAAAGTTCCTCAAATTCATTTTATCTCTAATTACACCAAGTTTGCTGAAGTTGCAACCTTCTCCAGAAGGGCTGTCTTTATTTTTGGCCTGTCTGGCATCAAACATCCCCTCATAACTAAATATTGATGAACTAACAAATATCCCTGCAATCTTGACAAAGAATGAATGAAGATGTAATAAATCTGTCCTAATGCTGATTACACATCACCAATGTTGCACATTGCTCATTGGAAGTCTCATTTACAATGTTTTTTTTTCTCTTGGCATAGCTGCTGTGTTTTCATTTTAGATTTTAATTTCAATTTTTTTTTTTGATAACTTTATCCCGTAAAGCACAGGGCAGAGCCTGCCATTGATTTATCTGGGCATTTATTTGAGATGTCATGTGCCTCATCTGCATACAGAAAAGCCAAATATTCTGAGTGGAAAGCTTGTCAACAAATGGGGTTGTTTGCAGAGGGCTTGGTTTATCTGAGGAATCTCATTTTAGCTACACAAATTTAAAAAGAAACACCAGGCCCAGCTGTGTTGTGTGTGCTGGAAAATCTGTTGCTACCCCCTGGCTAATGGCCTTTGTTTCATTCAGAATGTGAAATGGTCTCTCTCACTGTAATATAAATTTAAATAAGACATCTTAGCAGTGATTAGAAATCTCCAGCTGAGATACAAATTGATAGCCTCAAAAGAGACATGAGGAGAAGCTGTAAATCATGGGGGGAGCAGCAAAACCATCTGGGAGGGTTGAGAGCTGCCCCTGCTCCCTGGCAGCCTCCTGAGGAGCCCTTCCCTCCTCTCCTCCTGCCCAGCTCTACTGGGAAGGGGTGAAATAGGAGCCATCTGACACTGGTTTGTACTGGGAATGAAACCCCTCCCAGCTGCCCAGGAGATGGGGCCTTTCCTTTGAGTCCAGTTCAAAACTGAGTTAAAAAAAGAGAAAGAAAAATAGCCCCAGACATCCAGAGCATGCCCTGCACTTTGCAGAGTGGTTCTGGCTGTGCTTTGGGTTGGTTGCTTGCTCTGAAGTTCTCCCTCAGCCTCTCCAGTGCTTGTTTCCCTTTCAATCCCATATAGAACCTCTCATTCCCACTTTCTTCCCTTTCAGTTCCTTTTAAACTTTTAGTTCTCTCCCAACCACTTGCACTGTCCCAGTTCCTCATTCCCTGTCCCCAGCACACCCAGACATCCTGATTTGTGTGTCTGATCCACTGCAGCCCTGGGATCTGGCACAGCCTGAAATGATGAGAACTTTTGCTTTTCTCTTCACCTCGGCATTGGTCTTGGGGCATTTCACATTCTTGGTGCCTTTCTCTTAACAAGGTGGGCAGCTCACAGCTCAAAAGACATTTTTATCAGTGATTTATTCAATTTTAAGTAAAATTAAATCTTGCTCCATTATAAAATTATGGAAAAGTCTCATCTGAGTTGTTTATTTGCTTTTATTTCCCTGTTAATAAGAATTTCTTTCTTTTTCCAGGTGTGTCACATCGTTCTGGGCCTGCGACCTGCCACCCCAGAGGAGGAAGGACAGATTATTAGGTGTGTGCTTTGCTCAGAGGCTTAAATGCCTTTCAGATCCACCTTTGGGTATTTTCAAAAGATCTGGAAATTCCCTGTTTGTGCTAAAAATTCCCATTCTCTCTGTGCAGAGGCTGGTTGGAAAGGGAGAGCAGGTATGGCCTCCAGCCAGGGCACAACTGGTTTCTCATTGCCATGCCCTGGTGGCACCAGTGGAAAGAATATGTCAAATATGTAAGTAAAATAATAATAATAATAATAATCTATACTGAAGAAGTGATTTCTTATCTTTCTGAATGTGTTGATGGAAAAAACAATGTGGAGGAAATGTCTGCTGAAGCAATAATGCTCAGAATTGAACATCTCCTGTCTCTTGGTGGAAAATAATTGTTCTGCTGAATCATTGTTATGTGGAGAGCTTTGCACTGTAATTTCATTAAATCCTCATCTCTTTCATCATTCCTGCATCTTAAGATTATTTTGGAATAAAAACCATGCTCACAGGAGCATTTATTTCACATTTTCTGATCCATTTGATAATGAAGCTGCCCACTTTGGGTTTGACTTGGCTTGGGCCACAGATCCACTCTGAATTTTCTGGACAAAGGAGGAAATTGCTATAATTAGCTTAAGAGGCAATGACAAAAAATAGCCTAATACCCAATGAAAGAAGTCCCACTAAAACTTTTTAGATACAGGGTGCTCTTTAATAACCTTTAATTAGAATATTTAAGCTAAAGCACCACTGAATTGTACAAAATATTTAATAAAATGTAATTGGAGGTAAATATTATTTGCAGGCTAAACAAGTGAAATAAACCTCTCAAAAGAGTTTTTATGCACTCATAAGTAATCAAATAAGTACTTGATTTATTTTATAAAAACAAATAGCTGAAAGTACTCAGAAAACTGCAATGTGTGCATCAGCTACCCTTGTAAAGACTATTATACTTTGTGCACAATGAATTGGCCAAATGAGGGTTGAGATGCCAGAAATGCCAGGTAATTTGATCCTTAGCCTGGTGTGAGTGCTCAGATGTGCTCAGGATTTTCTCCCTAATCCTTTGCATAATGGCACAAGGCCATTACTCACTGCCCTTCTCAAAAACCATCAGAATTTCTGTGAAATGCTGCAGGTTTGAGGGGAAAAAGTGGTTTTTGTTGTTGTGCTTGCTGGTCTCATGTAACCACATGAACTTCAAGTCTTCAAATATTTACAGTCTGTAATTACAGCTGTTTAAAATCAGGTATATTTTTATGTATCTAGGTAGGGAAGATAATTTTGGAATTCTGGCTCTGTGCAGGATGGTTTATTTGATTGTTTTAACAATTTTGGGAGTTGTTTTCTGCTGATTTTTTTTTATTTGTACATATAGAAAGCATTTTTCCATCAGCAAATCTTGTGATGTGCAGAAGCAGTCACAGAACTGTGAATTTTAGGTGGCTGCTTTGACTGACACATCTTTGATCTTGGCTCTTAATTAACTTTTGTGTTTTTTCCCACCTCTAGGATGCAAACCCAGTTGTGATAGAGCCTTCATCTGTCTTGAGTGGAGGTAAGAATCCCCTGGTAGCTGCTGCAGCCAATACCCCAGAACAGGGAGAAGACAAAATGGGAGGTCTTAATGACTTCAGTGCTCCAGAAGAAAAGTTTTCAGATAATATTTCCACTGCCTCAGAAGCCTCAGAGTCCACCAGCAGCAGTAAGCATCTTATTTCCTTGGAGGTTTAATGTAGAACAGCTTTTGGGAAAACTGCACACTGCATGGACCCCTCCAGGAGAGACATAGCACAGCTTGCATTGCAGGGGGTTTAGGATTTTTTTAGCATTTTTTTAGGACTTTTAAGGATTTTTTTTAGGATTTTTTAAGGATTTTTTAGTTTGTGGTGGCTAAACACAAAGTCTTGTTTAACAGCAGTTCATCTGTTATGCTGGGATTCATTTCCAGAATTATTTTCAAGGTATTTTTTTGTCCTATGGTTTATTTTCTCAGTGGATTTTCCCCCCCACTTTCACATTAAGTTGTTTTAAGCTGGTTGATCCTATTCTCTGCAAAAAGGGAAGAAACAGCAAACAACCATGAGGAAAAGCACAGTTGTACTTTTACAGGGCATGTGATTTAAATGTGAATGAGTTTGTGCAGATCCTAAGAGCCATCTTTGTGAAAGAACAGATTTTAGTCCAGATTTTCAAGGAGTTCTTGTGAGAATTGGAGATTTTTTTCTTGTAAGGTTGCATCTGACATTTTAAAATCATCACTTCAGTTGAAATTAGGTAAATTACTGTGATGTTTTTGGGTATAGGGGTTGGGGGAAACAAAGGGTACAGAGACAAAGGATCTTTCTTTTTATTTTTATTTTTACTGAAATTTCCATTTAGTTCTGCATGACCAAAGCAGCTTCTATAAGAATCATTTGCCTTTTCAAGGAAAAACAAACCAAGGCATTATTGGATTTATCTTCAGTTCTGTATGTGAGTTTTTTAGGAGTTTGATATCCAAACATCCAGATAACAAAATTCTCACCACATTTGCTCATGCAAAGAGCTGTGTTTGTGTAATCATGATGTAAAATATATAAAATACAATATAAAATCATAAATCCCTTTCTGAGAGATAGCAGATTTATCCCTCTGGAGGTGGAAGAGTTGCATGTTTCACTGCAGGAGGAAGGGCAGCAAACTTGATCTTTTTTAAAACAAGGATGTAACTCATTCCTTTGTGGTTTATGGGATCACAAGTGAATTATTTCTAATTATTTCTGTTTCTTCTCCTGCTTTGTGCTCAGATACTCTGTACCCTGGCAGCCCAGGCTCTGAGGTGAGCTTTGCAAGGCAGCACAACACTTCAGACAACAACAACCAGTCTTTCCTGGGCTCCAATGGGAATGCTCTGCTCCAGCTGAACCCCCAGAAACCAGGAGCTATTGATAACCAGCCCCTGGTGACCCAGGAGCCAGTCAAGGTAAAGGCACCCAAGGCATGGCAATAGAGGAAAAGCACATTTTAGCTCTCTTTTATCACTGCTTTTTTATGTTGGGTTTTTTCAGCTTAATTCTGGATCAATGCTGCTCTGTCCCACAGCAAAATTGAGGTTTCTTACTCTTATTTTAAGAGGGAAAACTTGTGTTCTGCTTCTACAGCTACTCTTGTGTTTTGTGAGAAAAGAAACATTCAAAACATTCTTACAATTGGGAAGGTATTTATGAAAAGGCAGCTTGCAGCATTAAATGTAAAATACTTTGATAATCAAACACTTCAGCATTTCCATCTAAATATGAATTTGCTGCTGCTGTATAACAAGACAGTAAAACAGAGCTGTCAGTTTGTGCAGTATGGGTGCAAACAGAACATGAAACACAGCAGCAGCATCAGTGCTGAGCAGAGCTGGGACTTCTCTGTCCAGAATTGTTGGAGTAGGTGACACAAGAGCAAAAGACATGAATTTTATACTGCACAAGCTTTTAGAGAACCAGTAAACAATGAGACTTGAACGTTAATTACTGTTACATTTAACCACCATCTCTCAGTGTGAATAGCAGCTGCTAATTGTTACTTAGAAGCCTTTTAATAATTAAAGAGTGTTCAGTGTTCATGAACTAAAATCACTGTGGCCATGTACTCATTTCTTCCCTTGAGATGTGACCAAAAACCCTTTTTTTTTAAAGGCTGCATCATTAACCATGGAGGGTGGAAGGCTGAAGAGATCCCCACAGCTGGTGGAAGGAAAGGACTATGTCATGGTGCCAGAGCCAGTGTGGAGAGCACTTTACCACTGGTATGGAGCAAACCTGTCCTTGCCCAGGCCGGTGAGTTGTGATTTTTGACACTTTTTGATTTGATTTGTCCAGAGGTAACCTCCTGCAATCATCTCCCACTTCATCCTGTGTCTGGCAGAGCAAACTGGGGAAAAGCAGCCTCCAGGCTGGTCCTGGATGGAAAGTTGTGCTGTTTAGGAGGAGTTTTAGCTTGCAGCACAATCCCAGAGCTCAGGCAGCAGGGCAGAGGTGCTGCTCAGCTGCTCTGTTTGCTGAAGCGCACAAAACTAACCCTGAGCTCAGGTTAAAAGGCTTGGCATCAAAACTCCCATCTTTAAGGCTGGGATAGAGTTAAAAAGCTATAAAATGGAAAGTGGGACACCTGCAGCTCTGAAAACCTGTTCCTTCTCTCTGACAATTTCATCAAGTGGGGGGAAAACAACAATTGCTGCTTCAGGTTCAGCATCACAAACACAACGTGCAGGGTTTGGGGAAGAGCTCAAAAGCAGCTTGGCAATAGGTGAGGCCAGGACTCTCCTCTGCCAGAATGGCTGCTCAAGAACACCTGGGAGCTGGAGCTGCAGGAGTCTGCTCTCTTGGAAATGTTGGAAACTTTTTCTTCAATTTCTCTTGAGCGTATTTATTCCACAGACTGGTTGTTTTGTTCTGTGTCAGGTAGTCCCTTGTAGGAGATGCACTTAAAAAATGGATATGAAGGGGTTTTTGTGCTGGTAGCAATAGGTTTTTGGTGGTTGATGTCACAAACATTCAGTGTCACAGATGGGAGAGGATTATCTCTATATTTTTGACAATTTGGTCTGTTGGCTCTAGTGCCGACAATTATTTTAGAGGGAAAAATCACTGGCTTCTTACCTCCTCCCACACATTCTCCATGGAAACAAACACCTTTCATGATCCAGAAAAGGCCACATCACTTTATACACAAAGCAATGTGCTTTTTTTCTCCTCAGAAAATGTCATCACCATTGTTTTTGTTGTAGCTGAAGTTGAATACTGTGGCACTTGAGTGTGGTACCTTCCTTCTCACAGCTTGAGCTGCTCTCTTCTGCTTCACGTGGTCACACAAAGACTGAACATTCCTTCCATTTCTGATTGTGTATTTGGACAGATCTAAGTGGCAAGATCTTCGTAGAAATGGTGGCTGAAAAGCTGCAAAATCTGTTTTGGGGTAATTTCAGCTTTTCCTGTAAAGACAGCAAAATGCAACAAAAGGAGGTTGCAGCCTGTTTGTACAATATGAAGGCTTTAAGTCAATGCTGTGGTTCACAAAGTTCAAACCAAATGTCTTATCCTGCATTTGTCAGTTCTTTCAACAGCTGTGAAACTTTTATGTGCAAGTATTATACACTGAGTGGAATTAATGAGGTTCATTGTGGATTCACATATATTCCAGGAGTTATAAAAATATTCTTTCCATGGTGTGGTGCAGAGAGTGATGCTGCACTAAATAAGGTGTTTGCTTTTGACAACCTGCAGCTAATAAGCTCCAAAAAGTGCTTAGGAATCAGGAAATTGTCATTCCTGGGGATATTTGCCTAAAACCCCACGAGAAGTTTGGATTTTTTGTCTCCTCATTAAAGAGTTTGGCTTTTTAATAATTTAACCACTTTTTAATGAACGAATCACTCCTGTTGCTATTGCTATTCTCTCCACACTTGCAAGGTGAGTCTCTGCAATGTTCCTCCCATGTTCTGCAGGTGATCAAGAACAGCAAGACCAACGTGCCAGAGCTGGAGCTGTTCCCTCGGTACCTGCTGTTCCTGCGGCAGCAGCCGGCCACGCGCACCCAGCAGTCCAACGTCTGGGTCAATATGGGTATGATGAGCCTCAGAATGTTCCCTCAGCATTTGCCCAGAGGTAACTTAAGAATGCAGCAAGAACCACCATCCCCTGTGCAGTTTCTAGGCCAGCCCAGGAGCTTCCTGTGCTGTGCTTGTGCTCCAGCTCGATCGCCCTGCGGCACCATCGGCGCTCGGGAGCATCCAGGGCTGCCCTCGAGGGAAGAGGGTCCAGGGCTCTCCCTGCCCTCTCCTTGGGGGAAAAGGCTCCAGGGCTCTCCCTGCCCTCTCCTTGGGGGAAAAGGCTCCAGGGCTTTCCCTGCCCTCTCCTTGGGGGAAAAGGCTCCAGGGCTTTCCCCTGCCCTCTTCTTGGGGGAAAAGGCTCCAGAGCTTTCCCCTGCCCTCTCCTTGGGGGAAAAGGCTCCAGGGCTCTCCCTGCACTCTCCTTGGAGGAAAAGGCTCCAGGGCTCTCCCTGCCCTCTCCTTGGGGGAAAAGGCTCCAGAGCTTTCCCCTGCCCTCTCCTCGAGGGAAAAGGCAGCAGGGAGCATCCAGGGCTGCCCTGCCTCGAGGGAAAAGGCTCCAGGGCTTTCCCTGCCCTCTCATCGAGGGAAAAGGCTCCAGGGAGCACTTGCAGGGCTTTCCCCTGCCCTCTTCTCAAGGGAAAAGGCTCCAGGGAACATCCAGGGCTCCCCTGTCCTCTTCTCAAGGGAAAAGGTTCCAGGGAGTATTTGCAGGGAAATCTGTTGATTCCCATGTTTATGGATGAGTTGAAGGTGAGAAATGAGCACTGCAGAAGCTGAACTGATCAGAGAGCCAGAGCTGGGCATTCCCATTTTGGGAGTGATTGCTGTAGCCATGCAATAGGTGCCTCTGTGCCTCTCTGATATTGCAGTGGCACAATAAATTCAATTAATGCTCAGCCAAATGCTTCTGAGTTACTTGAGCAGCTGGGCTTTGATGCCCAAAATTATTTAATGCTCTTTAGAGAGCAATGAAATGAATGGAATATGAAGGCTATTGTTTGGTGTAGTTCAAAAAGACAATTACATACAAAGCATAAACACCCAGCTAAAATCTATTTGTCATAATTGTGCTGGTAATGCTCACCAAAAGATTGTACAAGTGTAATCTTTAGGTTGTGGCTTCACATTTCAGCTGAGGTGTTGCAGGAATTGTCTCCAGTTCCCAGTTTGCCTCACACAGAGGCTGGAAGGAATCCCTGCACTCACATTTGGACATCCACAGTAAAGTGTCCAAAAATGGGCTCACCTGGCTGCTGAAAAGTCAATCAATCCTTCAGCCTTGCCAGAGTCAGGGTGTGGGTAGAACCTGGTGCAGATGCTCAGTTTTTCACTGCTTTGGGAGGATCTCAGCCCTGCCTGTGCCATCGAGCTGTGCTGCACAAACTGCTCTGCCCAAACTCAGCTTTCCTGCCTGACCTAATCCAATGGAAACTGCTTTGTTTGGACATCCTAAAATGCCCAAATTCCAATGAACAGAATCTTCTCATGTGCCAAATTTGATCTTGATTTGAAATTACTTTGCACTGCGCTAATTTGATTGTCCAATCTGTTATTAATCTTGTGGAGTTCTCAAATGTGCTTTCTTGCTGTAATCTTACAACTAATCCTCTGATCCCTAATCTCAGAAAATGTTGTTTTCTTTTAAAAAAACTGTGTACTTTGCTTGGTACACTGAAGCCAGATTGATGCTTTGCTGATTTATAAGGTATCATTTACTCTCTTGTCAAATTGCATGTGATAAATATAATACTGCACCTTTTCATGTTGTACTTTTTATTTTATTGTAATCTTTTAACAGTGAAAATAGAATTGTGTCACTTCTCAGGCTACTTAAGTATTGCAGTTGCCCAGTTTGGTTTGGGCTGGATAAAAATGCTTGTCATGTTTGTAAGGAATGGGGAACTTCTGAATTTTAAACAAAAAAAGCTCAAAAGAAATTCCCCTCTTTAAAGTTGGTCTCATCTCTAGTGCAAATCTTTTATTTAAAGATGAGCTCCCATTAGAAAGAGCAACAATCTCGACCAATTAATCTGTTGTTGCAAGTGTGAACTTGTTGAGAAATTTTGGTGGAAATCCCAGGTGTCTTCACAGAATATTTTGAGGAATTGAGTTTTTAAGAAATTTAGTTATTAAGTGTGTTTCTGTTTTGAGCTGCCAGGCTGATTTCATGTCCCCAGATCAGCATTCATCCCCACAGAAGAGCTGAAGCAAAGTTGTGCTACTCCCAAAAATAGTCAAACTGGTTTTTGTACTTTATATTTTACTTCTCTCAAAAAGGAAATCCTAATGAAATTTTGAAGTCCTTTATTTTGAAAATTCTCTTTGCCTCTCCTACTGTGTCTTTGAGAGACAAAAAGAATTGTGGAAACTTGTAAAACACCATTGAATTTTTAAATTTCCTATGAGAATCTCAGAGAAGCAACTTTCTAATAGGTTTTGCTAAGAAGGGAGGTATTTTACCTGCTTTGTGACAGCAAATTTGTTGTCCCAAGGGGTCAGTAACAACTACTCTTACACCTAGCTGCTAAACACTACAGGTGTAGAACACTTTTTGCAGAGTGTACATTCAGTGTACAGTTGTTGATGTGACCTGTGGGTAAATGCAGTTGTGTTTGAAATGTTTTCCTGCTGTCCCACTGTGAATGCAGGCAATGTGCCCTCCCCAAATGCCCCTCTGAAGAGGGTTCTGGCTTACACTGGCTGCTTCAGCCGCATGCAGACCATCAAGGAGATCCACGAGTACCTGTCGCAGCGGCTGCGCATCAAGGAGGAGGACATGCGCCTCTGGCTCTACAACAGCGAGGTAACCCTGCTGCTCTGCCTGCCCCCGTGCTTTGTTTTTCATTTTATGTGCTCTTATTCCTCTCCAGAATCTACTAACTGCACATGCACAGGGGAATGAGGGCACCCATAAAAATCCTTTACAGTTAAAGGCTCTTGCTGTTTGTTTGTCAGAGGGTTTTGTGATTTAATTCCCATTGGAGGGGAGAGGATCCTCAGAGTGTAGAGGATCCTTTCAGTACATGCAGAGGATCCTTTCAGTTCCTGTGGAGGATCCTCAGAGTGTAGAGGATCCTTTCATTAGATGTGTAGAATCCTGAGAGTGTAGAGGATTCTCAGTACATGGAGAGGATCCTCAGAGTGTAGAGGATCTTTTCAGTAGATGTGGAAGATCCTCAGAGTGTACAGGATCCTTTCAGGTCCTGTAGAGGATCCTCAGAGTGTACAGGATCCTTTCAGGACCTGTAGAGGATCCTCAGAGTGTACAGGATCCTTTCAGGTCCTGTAGAGGATCCTCAGAGTGTACAGGATCCTTTCAGGACCCGTAGAGGATCCTCAGTTCATGCAGAGGATCCTCAGTTCATGTACAACTCTAATTCTATGATGTGTTTTTTTCCTCCTGAAGAACTATCTCACTTTGCTGGATGATGAAGATCACAGACTGGAATACCTTAAAATCCAAGATGAGCAGCATTTAGTAATAGAAGGTATTAAAAGGATAATATACTATTCTAAAAATAGAGGTTTGCAGAAGGAACCTGTGGGGAGGTGGTGGCAAAGCTAATTTAGGAAAGTTCACATGTATTTTTGTCCCTGTTTTGAAATACATTTGGATCTTTTGTTGGTTTGCAACAACATAAAATAATAATGGTGGCTCATGAACTGATTTGTTCAGAGCTGGTGGATCTTTATTGAGAATAAGAATAAGCACTGAAAAATTTGCAATTCAAGAGCAAAAGCAATCCCAAGGCTGCTTCCTAAAGATGTGACTGGTGTGGTTGGAGGGATGCCAGTGTTAGAATGAGTTCCAATAATGATTAGAAACATTGACATGAAAACTAGCAAAAATAATAGGTAGAAGTAAGCACATTTCTAATCCCAAATATTAGAAAATTTTAATTAAACCTCTTCAGCTGTGTAAGCTCTCTGGAGTAAGTAACAATTTTTAAAAGCCCCTTTTCATGTCCTTTTCTAGTTCGAAACAAAGACATGAGCTGGCCAGAAGAGATGTCTTTTATAGCAAACAGCAGCAAAATAGACAGACACAAAGGTGAGTCTCTCACAGAGTCACTGGATTATGATGAGAAGAAAAATCCCAAAAAACACTGAAATGTTGAAACAATCCTTTTAAACACAAGTCCTGTTAACATTGAGTGAAGTCTTGGCCTTTGCATGAACTTAAGTGCTGGAAACGTGGGAGGGTGGGATTTTTTGTTTATTCCCTTGGATTTTGTTAAAGCAAGGAATAATTAAGATTTTAACAAACAAATCCAGAATTTTCAGTACCATAATTACCTGTAAACATTCTGTGTGGGTTGCACTGCTGTCTGTGGTGGATCAGATCAACAAAATACTCAATTTCTGGGAGGCAGAGTTGAGAGAGCAGATATTTTAAGCATTTTTTTTTACATCCATGGAGTGTCATAATTGGGAGCAGGTTCCATTAAACTGCTTACTGAGAAGATGCTGCTACAACATTCTGAATTTTCTCATTAGCCCAACTGCTAAAATGATGATTTTTTTGCTCAGTTCCTACTGAGAAGGGTGCTACAGGCCTGAGCAACCTGGGGAACACGTGCTTCATGAACTCCAGCATCCAGTGTGTCAGCAACACTCAGCCCCTGACCCGGTACTTCATCTCAGGGAGGCATCTCTACGAGCTGAACAGGTAATCCTGGGGCAGAGCAGTGGAGTTTGGGTGCTGGAACATTTATTCAGGGCTGTCTGCTTCTGCAAGCTGCAATTCAGGGGGAAGGAATGATTTAAATTCAGTGTTAGCAGCCCTGCAGCAGATACTGCTTCAGAGGCATGGAAACACAACCTCCTGTTGCTTGAAGCTTTTCTGCTTCCTTCAGCTCCATTCTTGAGCTGCGGTTACATTTGAGTCTGGTATTAATTCCTTTGTGATTTCCAGGACAAATCCCATAGGAATGAAAGGACACATGGCCAAGTGCTATGGCGATTTGGTGCAGGAGCTGTGGAGTGGCACCCAGAAGAACATAGCCCCCTTAAAGCTGAGGGTGAGTTATTCTGGGGTGGAAAACAAGGATTTCATGGAAAAGCAGAAATTCAGTGCACTTTTTCCTGGTGTTACCTGTATTTGTAGCAGTTTGGACACTCAGAGTTTTCCCTGGAAGGAGCCAGTGTTCATCAGACCTGGTGGAATTTGTGGTTATAAAGGAGTTATGTGGTATGACACAAGTTGTGCCATGGGAAGTGGCTTTTGTAGCCCTTTTTAGGTACAAAATGTGGTGCATTTACCTGTAAATGAGCTTTTATTCTGCAAGCAAAGGGGCTCCCTTCAGCTCTTGGCAATTGAATTTGTGTTCGTTGACATATCTCATCTACAATATTTTGATGCTTTTTTACATTTTTTACATGATATTAAGTTTCTGCTGTTTTGTGTTGTTTTTTTATAGTGGACAATAGCAAAATATGCTCCAAGATTTAATGGCTTTCAACAGCAAGACTCCCAGGAGCTTCTGGCTTTTCTCCTGGATGGGCTCCATGAGGACTTGAACAGAGTTCATGATAAGCCATATGTGGAGCTGAAGGACAGTGATGGGCGGCCAGACTGGGAGGTGGCAGCAGAGGTGGGGCTTCAATCTTTGGGGGTTTTTGTGTGTTTCTTCTTTTCCTCACAGTACTAAGCTGAGAAATTGTTCATGAGGCTGCCTATGGCAACATTTTGGGACTCTAGCACCTTTTGGATCTTGTCAGATCTGTGATTTACAGAGATAATTTCACCTTTGAGCTGAAAATTAATTGTTGTAATAAAATTATGAAGATGAGACAACAATTTTGAACAACTCAAAATTAAGGAGTATCAAAATATTTCAAGATGCCTGATTATCCCCTCAGAAATTTTAAATTGTGTCATACTTTGATTATAGTGTTGAGAACTTTACTTGTTCTGTAACTAAATTTATTAGAAATTAGGAAGTAACTTTTGTGGAAATACTTGGACTCCCATAGGCCAATGAAACTTTGGAGACCAATGAAGTAGTGTCCAGTTTCTGACTTGGTATTCTATTTTTTTGTGCTTCATTTCAGGCCTGGGAAAACCATCTGAGAAGAAACAGATCCATTGTTGTAGATTTATTTCACGGGCAGCTGAAGTCACAAGTGAAATGTAAAACTTGTGGGCATATAAGTGTTAGGTTTGACCCTTTTAATTTTTTATCCTTGCCTTTGCCAATGGACAGCTACATGCACCTAGAAATTACAGGTGAGTGGTGTAAATGTGCTATTCCTCAGATAAAATCTGTAACAGTGGAACAGCTATAAAACATCAAATTTTGTTTGTGATACTACTTATTTACAATAATACAGTAATTTTAATATAACAGTGCAAGAATTTTCATTGGAATACAGTTAAAACAAGATAAAACCTTTAGAAACAGAAAAGGATGGCCCATTTTTAGTCTTGATTGAAGGACTTAATATAAAATCTTTTTAAAATTGAAATTTTGAAAACTTCCCTCTCTTGTGGAGGTTGTCCTAAATCTGTCCAGAGGAAAAACAGGGGCTGGGGGTAAAACACAATATGGGTCATGAACTGTGCTCTGAAGGAGCTGTGGATTGCTGGAAAAGGGGCAAAAGGAAAGATGACAAAAAAGTGAAACAAATTTTGAAACCATTTTTTACTGCCTATGCAGCAAGAGATTTTTCTGACATTGTGACATTGCCTGCAGACATTAAAAATTGACTGGGAAAATGAAATAAATCATCTGTTCAAGTTGGGGAAAAATATTTTCCAATAAGTGGAGAGCTGTAATTTATTATTGTCATTAAAACCTGCCTGGGTTGCTGACCAGGGTGTTTCTTTTCCCCTTTAAAGTAATTAAATTAGATGGTACCACTCCTGTTCGATATGGACTGAGACTGAACATGGATGAGAAGTACACAGGCTTGAAAAAGCAGCTGAGTGAACTCTGTGGCCTCAAACCAGAGCAGATTCTGCTTGCAGAGGTGCACAGCTCCAATATAAAGGTAAAAAGAAAAAAAGGTTAATTATTGCTGCAACATGCTGTGGGTGATTTTGTTGCTTCTTTGTTATTTTTAACATTTAAACTTTGCTGACAAGAGCTGTGAAATAATTTAACTAAAAGTATGGTAAAAAATCAGCTTAGTTATGTCTCTAGATGAGCTTTTATTTCATTCTTAAACAGTAATTTAGCTTGTTGTAAATAGATTAAAATTGATTGCTGATGATATTTTTAGGGGGAAAAAATCATCTTGAGGTGATAAATCTCAAGTTAAGGTGCTGTGATGAGACAAAGACATCAGGACCATAAGTAATGACTGGCTTACAGTGTGTGGGGATATTTCCAGGGGGATTTTTTTGCTGTAGATTAAAAGTGCTTGAAATGAGGTGCTGTGGGTGTGATTAGAGAGCACTGATAGCTCCTGCAGAGGGCTTGGGCTCCTTTACTCTCCTGGAAAGGTGTGAGGAGGCAGATGGGAGGGAGGGAGGAGCTGATAAACACAGCTTGCAGAAGAACAGAAGACATTTTGGTCCCAGATGAAGGTGTCCAAGTGCCTGAGCAGCTTTCCCTCTCTCCTGAAGAACTTCCCCCAGGACAACCAGAAGGTCCGTCTGTCCGTCAGCGGCTTCCTGTGCGCGTTTGAGATCCCCATCCCAGGCTCCCCCACCTCAGCATCCAGCCCTGTGCAAACAGGTGAGACCAAACTCTGCTTTTCCTCTCCTTTGAGCTGCACACTGTGAGAAGCTCAGCACCAAAGTTTCTCATTGAGTGAGGATTACAGAAAGGAACGTGCGGGTTGTGCTCGGTGTCCGCACGGAATGGAAGGGATGAAAACCCTGCTCAGCTGTGGCTGCTGTGATAATTGGTAATTGATTTGTCTGCCTGCAGAGACCTCCACTGGGCCATCAGCCAACGGAGCCCCCACCATCCTGATGAACGGGGACATCCCCAAGCCAAGCCTCATTCCCAACGGGATGCCAAACACTGTGGTGCCATGTGGGACAGAGCGCAGCTGGACCCTCAATGGCCACGTGCCCTCGCTGTGTGACAGCCCCTGCACAGGCTACATCATTGCAGTGCACAGGAAAATGGTCAGTGCCCTTGCACACTTGGCAAGAAATTGATAAAAGCAGATTGTTTTTCATGTCCGCACAATAATTACACACATTTATGTGAGATGTGGCCAGATAACCCCATCATCATGTCATAAAATAGAAACGTTTTTCAATACAGTATTTAATATTGGAATTAAGAGTATTTTTAATACAATTGTTGACTAATTTTAATTGCCAAGGTCTGAAATAAGTCACAAGGCCAGCAATCCAGGTGATTATTGCACTGTGAGTTAATGCACCTTCACATCTGACTTCTCCTTTTGCTCCCACAGATGAGGACAGAGCTGTATTTTCTCTCATCTCAGAAGAACAGGCCCAGTCTCTTTGGGATGCCCCTGATTGTTCCCTGCACAGTTCACACCCGGAAAAGGGACCTCTATGATGCTGTGTGGATCCAGGTTTCCAGGCTGGCCAGCCCCCTCCCTCCTCAGGAAGCCAGTAACCATGCACAGGACTGGTGAGTTGGGCACCTCAGCCTTGCATCTGAGTTACACTGCAGTGCCTTACACTTGCTTGCAAGATTGAAAATTGTGTTCATTTAGTTTCTCACAATAATGGCAGTAATTAAAATTAAATTCTTTTTAGTACAGTTAAATGTAGCTGCACTTAAATGTTGGCTGTGTTCTTATCCAGTGATTGATAATTATTTATATCTGATGAATTTAAGCCGTGGAAAGGCAGCTTTTAATAGTAAATTGTAACCAAAATTATAATTTTGAGGGTTTTCTTTAAGTAATCATAACAAGGCCAGTGAAGGGAGGTAATTGCAGTGAGTGCTGCTGTTTGATGTTGTGTTCTCCTCTGTTGCAGTGATGACAGCATGGGGTATCAGTACCCCTTCACCCTCAGGGTAGTTCAGAAGGATGGAAATTCTTGTGCTTGGTGTCCATGGTACAGGTAAATTGTCCTTTTTTCCATTTACAGCAGGGAATCACTCCAGCAGAAAGGTAATTTATGGTAATGGGGCTGTGGTACATTTCAGACTTCAGAGGTAATATCAAACAATAAGAATCTGGAATGTAATTTCACCAGAGCTCTCTCCAGGCAGGCTTGCTCTGCAGCACAGCTTTTATGACTTGCAGAGCTGAAAGTTCTGCTGCCACAGAAACTTTAAATTAGGAGACAGAAATGAGATTATCCAGAACCTGTTAACCCCTTACAGTATTCTGTGTCTGTGTGCAGCCTTGGATGTCCACAGACCTGCATGGTCTGGGGGGATTCACACAAACCCACATTTTTAGATGTAATTCATCTGCCCCTGTGAGTTCCTTGCCATTTGAAGGGTAAGATCTAAAATGGGCAATGAGAAACTCACCCTGGAAGGATGCTTGGAATTTCCCATAAACAGAGACTTGCTAATGAAAATTCCAGACCTTTGCTGCAAGGTATTCAGGCCACAAACTAATTTTTTAGAAAGTGTTTTATAGCTCTTAAAATTAGTTATCATGGTGAAAATGACCTGTGGAGACAGAGCAGTGGAGTTTTTGGGGGTGTAGCTGGGTTTGGTCAGCACTGGATCATAATGGAAGGGACCTTAAAGATCATCCCATGCCAACCCCTCCATGGGCAGGGACACCTTCCAGTGGATCATGTGCAGGCAATGGTGGAGCTCACCCAGCTGCTTCCCTTTCTCACTGTGGTAAAGTTTTGCATTAAAAACACAAATAACCCTGAGCATTGCTGCATGAAAATGTCTCACACTGAAGGTGAGGCCTGGAGCTTGGAGGGTGCAGAGGAGCCAAAACAGGAGCAGAACTGCAATGTAGAAATGATTGGAGCCTGCGCTGACCACAGCCAATTTCTGCCCCAGGTTCTGCCGTGGCTGCAGGATCGAGTGCTCAGAGGACAGGGCCTGTGTGGGCAATGCCTACATTGCTGTGGACTGGGACCCCACCGCGCTGCACCTGCGCTACCAGACCTCGCAGGAACGGGTAAATGGCAGCAGGAACCTTTGTTCTCTGCTAGCACCTGAACACCACCCCCTGCAGCCTTTTGGGTTCTGTGATGCTGCTTTTGTCCCCTCCTGTCAAACCAAAGGCAGCAATCGTGGGACAATATATTCTGGATAAATCAATGTCTTGATGTTAGGCCTCTTATGTGCTCTAATGCTGTGGAAGGGAAGCTTTTAAAGAACCACAGCAGTGCATTTGCTGTCTGTTGTGAATTTCTTTTAAGCTAGTCAAGATATATAATAATATATTACATAATATATTACAGAATATCTTAATTTGATAAATTTTCTGTAACTATAAACAGTTATGCATGTGAGTAAACCTATTTCCTCATTATGCCAACAAAACTCATCTGAAGGGGAGCCTGTAGCTGGGTGAATCTGGAATAACTGTTCCAGTTTGTGAGTTTTATCTATAAAGTCGTGCTTTATGGATAATTTATAAGCAGAGCCCAAGTATAAGAACAGTGAATTATTTTTATCTGCCTCTCCATAACTGAAATGAAATTCCTGCTAAAACTTAACCACATCTCATTTTTATCTTTAATTCTGAACAACCCAGTGAAGTTATTTGTGATACTGTGAGGAGAGCCCTCCTCTGAGCAGTGTGTGTTACATTTCCAAGTCAGAGAGAGTTTTCTCTCCCTTTCAGATTGTGGAAGAACATGAAAGTGTTGAGCAAAGCCGCCGAGCCCAGGCAGAGCCCATCAACCTGGACAGCTGCCTGAGAGCCTTCACCAGCGAGGAGGAGCTGGGCGAGGATGAGATGTACTACTGCTCCAAGTGCAAGACCCACTGTCTGGCCACCAAGAAACTGGATCTCTGGAGACTTCCCCCTATTTTGGTAGGATCTTGTGTCATTTTCCTCCTCAGCAGCAAACCCAGAGCACATTGTCCCCAGATCTACCAAGTCGCCTTGCTGTGAATAAGATGATTTGCTTTGTTCGCACTCTGAGGTGGGACACTGACTGAGTTTGCAGGCAAATAAAGCAAACCTCAAATACTTTAGAATGTTTTTAGCTGCTGCCTTGCAGGAAATGGTGGTGGTTTGTGTTCAGTGTCAGCTGCTCTGACACAGCTCATGCTCAGATGGTGACAAGATCTCCTCTCTGGTTGTGGGACACCTGCAGTTCTTATTTTTCACATTTGGTAGTTTATTCAAAACAGAGAGTGCTGATCACTGAATTGAAGCAACCTTTGCCATCATTTCCATCTAATATGAAAATATTAGTTTCATATTTTACCAGCTCGATCCCAAAATCCACACTGCCACACAGAGCATGATTTTTACTAGCTTAGATAAAATGTGTATGTTTTGGGAAAAACTCTCTTTGAACAATAAAATTACTCACTGGGATGTCATTGCCCCCCTTTAATAATTTTCTCTACCATGTTTCCCCTTAGATCATCCACCTGAAAAGATTCCAGTTCGTTAACGGCCGCTGGATAAAATCCCAGAAAATTGTTAAATTTCCCAGAGAAAACTTTGACCCAAGTGCCTTTTTGGTACAAAGGGATCCGAGTCATTTCCAAAGGAAGCAGCTCACCCTGCAGGTTGAGAGCCTTCCTGAAGCACGGCCTGGCCAGGGGGACAGCAGGAAAGCAGATGTGCAGAGCACTGGCACAGCAGGAGAAGGGGACACACTGAACAGGAGTCCATCCTCCCTAAACACTTCAGTCCTCAATAATGTCAAAGGTAGGGAATGACTGGGGAAAATTCCACTCTGTGCTGGTGTTTGGAGGGGAAAAATGTTATGTACAAAATGTTAATGTTTGGGGTTTTTTTTGCCGAAGCACTACACTCGGAAATGGTCCTTAGTGAAGCTTTAGCATAAAAAATGAAAGAAAATTTAAGAAGTTGCTCAGTGACAACAGATATTGGTACTTGTGTAAGTGGGCTGGAATTAGTGAGGCATGTGCTTCTGCATAAAGTAATATAATTTCAGTTTTTAGGTGTGCACAAAGATGAGGTTTTATTTCTATATATTACTCATGAGCTGCAGTGACACACTGGGGTTTAATGTTTGGTTATTCAAAAATATCACTTTAAAAAGAAAACTAGGCTGTGTTTGTACTCATCTTAGTCATCTCTGTGCTTTCTGTCCCAGCATCTCCATCCTTGGGGAGGAAAAGTGGAACCAGCTGCCCCTCAAGTAAAAACAGCAGCCCCAACAGCAGCCCAAGGACTTTGGGGAGAGGCAAAGGGCGCCTGCGGCTGCCCCAGCTGGGGAAAAACAAACTGTCCAGCAGCAAGGAAAACCTGGCTGCAAGCAGGGAGAACGGTGCTGAGCACGAGCAGGGGGATGGCCTGACTAAAGGACAGGCCCTGGGGGGCAGCCAGAGCGAGCTGTACCCCGGGCAGGACAGCGAGGGGGCTCTGGCCAACGGGTACCTGTGGGAGCAGAGCTCGCTCAGCAACGGGCAGGGCGAGAACCACAGCGAGGACGACACCGCCGACGACCAAAGAGACAGAGACGACGTCTGGGTCAGCCCCATCTACAACCTATATGCAATCTCGGTAGGTGCTGCTCCTCCTTGGCACACTGCTCTGACCAAATGCCTTCCTTGGGTTTGTGCCAGCACAGGCATCTGTAGGGAAGGAGGGCAAAAGTCAGCGCCGTAAAGTCGCTGTAAAACTGGGGGTGAATTATGTGTCTGCTAATTTGCATGTGTGTGAAAAGTTAGTCAGCTCCAGCTGATGTCATGATGGCTCGTTCACAGATAATGAACTTGGGAATCATTTATTGGATGTTTGATCCAGCATTTCTTTTCTTCTTCCTTTTCCTCAGTGCCATTCAGGAATTATGGGAGGGGGTCATTACGTCACTTATGCCAAAAACCCGAACAACAAGTGGTACTGCTACAATGACAGCAGCTGCAAGGTAAAGCACTTCTTTTCCTCATTATTTCACATCATTTTTCTAACTATCTCAAATAATTTTTGCTTTGGTTACCCAGAGCTGAATAAATTTAGAATCGGAAATCCAACTAAAGAAATTTTAGAATCACAGAGTGGTTTGGATTGGAAGGAACCTTAAAGTTCATCCCATTCCACCCCTCTGCCATGGGCAAGGACACCTTCCACTAACTCAAACATTTGTGGAGAGCTGCTGTTTGAAATCAGGAACATCTCCAAAGCTGCACCAGATAAATATTAAAATTATTAGCTGAAATTGTACGTGAGGTTTTTTCCAAGGTAACATCTGTTCATCAGCTGCTCCCACAGTTAAGGGAAGATGCTTGTTTTGTACAAAGATGTAAAAATGACTAAGGATGGAAAGCCAGGAATACATTTCCATGATGGCAGCAGTTTGTATTCAGTTGGTGAATAACTCAGCTCTGACACTTCTAAGTATTTGCATTCATCACCATAAAATTGTCAGAGTTCCCAAGTAATTCCATGGAGCGAGATAACAAAGAGGGGAGACAGAACATGGGATTCCTTATGTGGCACCCAGTTAAAAACACCCTTTTAGGGGCAGCAGTGTGTGTCTGAAGTGCAGCAGTTGTCCCATGGGGTTTTTGTGGGTGTTTTCCCTGTGTCAGGAGTTGCACCCGGACGAGATCGACACGGACTCTGCCTACATTCTGTTCTACGAGCAGCAGGGGGTGGACTATGCCCAGTTCCTGCCCAAGATCGATGGCAAGAAGATGGCAGACACGAGCAGCATGGACGAGGACTTCGAGTCCGACTACAAGAAGTACTGTGTGCTGCAGTGAGCCTGAGCTCCTGGGCTGGGCTGGGGGAGAAACCCTGGGATGTGCCCCTGGGGAGGCCCTGACTGAGCCAGAGAGCAGCTTGTGGTTGTCATTGTCCCCTGTGAGCTGAAAGCACAAAAAGAGCCCCTGGTTAAGCAGTTAATATCCAGTAGTATTGTTTTGTTCTGTTTTCTCACTACATGCTCGAAACGTTTCTGATGTTGGACATCTGAGACTGCCACTGGCCTTTAAATCCAATGGTTTGAGAAAAGCCAACTAGGACCAAATAAGAGCTAAATTAAACATCCAAATAAGAGCTAAACAGAGTAGTGTAGAGTTTACCAACTGTTCTAACACCCCCCGAGGCTCTGGTTAGGTTTAAGGTAACGGGGAAAAACAATTTCTAGTGTTGTCTTTGGACAACATGATATTGCTACCTCCTTTTTCCTGCAGTTTTATTGCATTTTATTGGCAAAACAGGGAAGGCAAGAGAAGGAAAACTGCACAAATGGAAACAAATTATTGCCATGGGGAAGAAAAGTTTCCAGTTTTGCCACCACTAATGTGTGTCAGTTGCTTTCTTTCTGTATGTTGGGAGCACAACCAAATCATCATTTGAGAGGAGATTAATTTCTACACTTGAATGGTTTTATTATACTTGTGTTTTCTCCACGTGTTGGCTGTGCAGATCAACATGTTTCAGGAATGGCTTTTCTGCCTGAAGAGTGCTGGCTCAAAGTTTTTTGAGCTGCCTCAAGAAGAAACTTCAGGTTGGAGAGAGTAGTTGTGATTACACTCACGGTGTCTTAAAATGTGCACATTGCACAGAACGTTCCCAGCTTTTGGAAGGAGAGATGCTTGAGCTTATGTTTCATGACTGGTGTTGCTTTTGAAATTGCACTTTTGAAAATGCATCTGATTCAATTGAAAGCCACGTTTGTTTGGTTTTGTTGTTGTTGTTGTAAGGGCTCTGGAGTGAATGGCTGTGAGTATCCACTGTGTATTTCCAAGGAAGAAGCTGTGGCTGTCAGGTAGCTGTCGTAGCATTCATGGATGGAGGTTTTTTTTTATTGGTTTCCTAACTCAGTTTCTTGTTTTCAAAAAATTTGATTGCCTTTTGAAATTATCTTCTTTTTGTTTGTTTGTTACACCAGGTTATGCAAATACTTGCAATTAAACCAGACTTGCTTTCCATGCCCTTGCAACATGCTCTGTAATTCAAGGGGCTTCTTGCATGAAGGGAAGTGTGACTGAGTCTTAGCAGAGACTGGAAAAAAAGAGAGTTGGTTTTTTTTGAGCAGGCATTTCTTTAAACATTTTCAGTGTTAAATTGTTTGCATATCTGAATGAAGATAAAATTTTCACTCTTTTGGCCTTTTGTTCTTCAGCTGAGCTTAAGCAGCTTATTAATTTTGTCATGCATCATCTTCCCAGTTCTCTAGATTTTTGTACCTTCACTAACAAAACTGTTACTCACATGGTTCTCTGCCATTAATGTTTGGATTCATTTTGGGGTGTTTGACAAGAATGCCAGACCTTCAGCAGTTTATCATTTCCAGGAGGATCTGGGGTTTATCCATGGAGGAAATGCTATCAGCTGGTGTGGCTGTCTGCTCAGGCAGAGCCCTGCCAGCCCGTGGAGGCTGTGCCTCTTTGGGGACAGCAGATCTGTTCCAAAATGAGTCTTGTCTTACCTGTCAGGTGTTGCTCCTTATCCTCTATGGTCTTTTATCTTTAAAGTGGTCTGAACATTGAGCCTAAAGAGAGGCAGACATGACTAGTGAATTTCTAGGTTAGAAGCTTTTTCAACACCCACTTGTCTACTCCTCCCTCCGCAAACTCCATGAAAAGTGAAAGATTTTCAACTGATTTACTTTAAAATGTTTTATTTAAGCAGGTAGCACAATCTACTAATGTTATTTGATCTTCTGTGTTTGTTACATTGGTTGTAATTAATTTTTTAAATTAAATTAATTCAAGAATTAGTAGTAAATTTATTAAGTTAACTATTAACTACATTCACTTTGTAAATTATTGTATAAAACTTATTGACAATGCACTGACTTTAGAAAGATGTTAATGTACATAAATGCCTTGTAAATAAAATAGTGTTGATGTACTGGAATATGAGCTGTATTAAAACAAAGGTATTGGTAATTGTATATGGAGTGAACCTGTTTATCTGTAACTATATTATTCAAACAAATTAAATACTGTGGATGCAGATGAAGTGTCACTTCTTGTCAGATAATTTTTAATAACTGTTTTCCTGCTTTGAAGTGTCTGTGCTGCTTCTATGAAGCTTAAATACCTTTGTCAATCCAAAAGCTGAAGCACGGGCGGGCATCCAGCAATTCTTTACAGCTTCTTCATTGTTTATGAAAGGTAAGTTGGGTATTTTGTTGATGATAATAACACTTATTACTTGAAAACAATCCTTGTCAGCAGTGAAGTGATCCCTCAGGTACAGGAAGGCTTTGCTCTGTCTTTGGACAGGATCTGCAGGTACCTGACGTGCAGTCCTGGTGCCTGAGGTGTCCCTGGGCAGGCAGGGGTGGGAGAGCCCGGCTGCCCTCCCGGCCCTGCTGCCCTGCCAGCCCTGCTGCCCTCCTGGTCCTGCTGCCCTCCCGGCCCTGCTGCCCTGCCAGCCCTGCTGCCCTCCTGGTCCTGCTGCCCTGCCAGCCCTGCTGCCCTCCTGGTCCTGCTGCCCTCCCGGCCCTGCTGCCCTGCCAGCCCTGCTGCCCTGCCAGCCCTGCTGCCCTCCCGGCCCTGCTGCCCTCCTGGTCCTGCTGCCCTCCTGGTCCTGCTGCCCTCCTGGCCCTGCTGCCCTCCCGGCCCTGCTGCCCTCCCGGCCCTGCTGCCCTGCCAGCCCTGCTGCCCTGCTGGCCCTGCTGCCCTCCCGGCCCTGCTGCCCTCCCGGCCCTGCTGCCCTGCCAGCCCTGCTGCCCTCCTGGTCCTGCTGGTCTCCCAGCCCTGCTTTTCCCCTAGCAGGAAGTGGCTCTGGTTGAGCTGGCAACCAGACCAAAGTCTGCATAGGGCTGATGTCAGGAGCACGCATCACCTGCCTTCTTTAGCTGGAAATGAACCATTGTTCTTTTTTTACAGCCCCTGAAGATGCTCAGTGGGTATTTACCCAAGGATTAGCACGCAGCAGCATCCCCAGAGTGTGTCTGGAAGTGAAGCCATCTGTGGCTGGGATGGGAGGTTGGTGCCACTTTCCTGGTGATAACTCTCAGAGCACTGGTCATCCTTGGTCATTCTTACCGGGTGTGGTCACCTCATGGCTCCACTGGGGTCACTTGGGCATTTTCAAGGTTGAAAATTTCGTTTCAGTATAACGAAGTTCCTGTCATGAATTTCCCTCTGTTACTTTGAGGTATTGAAAGGGGAATTTAAAAGGATGAAACACTAATTACTAAGGATGTTGATACATGCTGCTGTCAGTGGTAAAGTTTTATTGATTTAGTGCAGCAGGGGACATTGGAGAGATGAAGGTGTCACATCCCTGCCCAAGCTGCAGCCATGTGCTGCTGCTGAATCCCTCTGATTCCCAGATCAGAACTGTGCAGGTCTTGCAGGAGGGTTCAGAAGTGAGCAGAGCCCCTTTTGTGAGGTGGGAGCAGTGGGAAATGGGCTCTGCTGGGTTTTCCCTGCTCCCTTTGTGTGTGGGGAGTTCTGGAAGCACCTGTCCTGTTTTGGGCTGGATCAGCCCAACTTCTGCAAACCTGGGGGGGCTTTTGGAGCTTCTGCTGGGAGGGAGGGGAAGGGACAGCAGGGACAGCACCTCTTGTGCCAAACCCTCTGATTCCCTCCAGAGAGAGGGGAGGGATGGGTGCACCAACCCTGCAGGGCCCTGCTGCCCACAGGAGTGACCACAGGAGTGACCGCTGTCCCTTCCCTTCCCTGAACCCCAAACCCAAAGGCATTTTCCATCCTGATCCAAGTGTTGGATCCGTTCTGGAGCTGCTGTTCCAGCCCTGCTCCCTGTCCTCCCCTGGGCTGCCACAGGAGGCTCTATCCGTGCTTTTCCCTGTATCTAAATATCAAAATATCCCAGATTTATCTGTGATCATGTCCTGAGAACGTGCTGGGCTCCAGGCACAGCCTCTGGCCCGGGGCCCGGAGCATCCACGTAGATATTAATTATATTAATTATGCCTTTTGTTACTCTTTTTCCCCTCAGGTCCTGTAAATTGAAGCCAGAAGTGAGTAAAATGCAGTCATCCATGCTTGCTGATTTATCGTTTCAGGAAAATAAAAACCTGTCAGGAGCTGGGGAGATTGTGCCTTTTGTTTGGGACAAGGCTCTGGCTTCCTCGATCGTGTGTAAAAGATTTCCTGTTTGTGAAAATGAAAAGCAATGTTTGATAAGGTCCCTTCAGCAAAATGAGTCACAAAGGAGAAAATAGATTAAGGATGCTTCTAGATTTGATAGAAATTAAATTTCACTGGGAGTTGTGAACATAGAAAACCAATAAGAAAATCTTGTGGCAAAATCCAGGTTTTATTTATGTTTGGGGTCATTTCAGACACACCTGAAGACTGAACCTCACCCAACTTTTATCAGTGCATTTAAAACTCATGATGAGAGCACAGAGATGTCCCCAGGTGGGTCACAAGCTGCTTTGGGTGGTCAGAGTTCATGCACTTCCCTGCCCTGCAAAAAAAATAAACAGCAGCAGATGCTTCAGAGCCTTTGTCAGAGTGTTTGTGAGAGCTGGCCATGCAGCACTCTCTGTACTCTGATATTTTTTTTATCTCAGTGCTGCTGAAATTTTTTTCACCGTTAGGTTTTTATTGGGTGCAAAGTCCAAATGAAGTGGCTGAGAGAGCTGTGGTGTGTGATGACTTCTTTTGGATTTTGAAAATAGTGTCTGTGAACGGCTGTGAACATTCTCAGTGTTGTTTCTCAGCTCTGTGTGAGGTTAAAATCCTCTGCTTTTCCCTGACCTGAACAGGGGAAGCACAGGCAGCTCCTGGGGCCCTTACCAAGGTATTATTTTGCATAGAGCTATTAAATCCCAAGTGTTTTCTGACTCTTCTCCAGCTTCTTATTCCCTCAAAGTACCTTGCAAATTAAATTGTCTTTACACCGTGAATTTGAGAGGTTTTGGTCAAACTGAGGTTGAAGGAAGGAACCAAACCAACAAATAGGTGGTGGATTATATACTATGTTTGGAGTCAATGAAAAGGTTTGAGGCAACAGGTTTGGCTCAGTTTTTACATCCCACAGAAGTTTGTCCATGAATTGCTGCATCTCTGGGTAATCTGGTTTAAATTTTGCTGAAATGTGATATAGAAAGCAGAGTTTTAGATTAAATCCCCTGTGTGTTTAGCATGTAATGAAATTGTGCCTTCACCTAACGCAGCATTTTGTTGGGGAAAATATTTATGTGTCTTATAAATAAACCTTGGTATCCCAAGGAGAAGCTGCAGGAAAGCTGGAGCGTGGGTGTTGCTTGGGAGCTGGAGAAAACAAAGGGAAGCTGCTGCTGCTGCTGGGCCAGAAAAGGATCCAACACCAGCACAGGCAAATCAAAACCCTTACAAATGGTGTTTGTGCTGTGATGTTTGGAGTAGGGAGACAATGCAAGGAACAGGGTGATTACAGAGCTCAGCCCGGACATTGTGAGGCAGATCCCTCCCTCCAGAGCTCGGTGACAGGGTGACAGCTGTCCCCTGCTGCCTGGGGAGGGCACAGCACATCAGGGGCTTGTCCAGAGCAGCTGGGGCTGCCCCTGGATCCCTGGAGGTGCCCAAAGCCAGGCTGGACAGGGCTTGGAGCAGCCTGGGATGGTGAGAGGTGTCCCTGCCATGGCAGGGGTGGCATGAGGATGTTTCATGTCCCTTCCAACCCAAACCATCCTGGCATTCCACCCAGGAAGGCCCTGGAGCTGCACACTGGCTGTGAGCTCGTGTTTGGGACCTTGCTTAGGAGTTAACATGTTGGAAATGTTTGCTTGCCATGTGGCTGTGCCTTTTTATCTGCAGGTTTGATTATATAAATGTTCCTGTTTAAGAGACACACGCCAGGGAATAAACCTCCGGGCCCACAGACTCTTTGAGCACAGGCAGCCCCAGCATTTAACTGGTAACAAAGAGTTGGAGTGGAAGCTTTTTGATGAAGGGTTGGCAGCATATCAGAGGAGCAGCTTGGCCACGAGATGTGAGCAAGGATGTCACACTGGGTGTTTAAACTTCTTACCTTTCCTTCCAATTCCTTTTTATTTTTTTTTCTCTAAGTGATTATGAATGAATTATAGGAGGGATGGTGATTGTTTTCAGTGTGTGTGTGTGTTCAGATACTGGCTCAATTAAAAAAGACATTAACTTTGGATTTTAACATAATCCAGAGATCTGGCTGCTCTAACTGCACTTCAAGTAGTAAGAATTAAGAGTGACCTGAAGAATGATCAGCTTTTAGCACGAAATCTCTTGTTTAACTGATTTAACTGGGCCCAAACCTCTGGCTGTAATTTGAGGTTTGCTTCCATGAGGGTGGCAGGTGCTGCCACACAGCAAAAGACAAGTGGAGTGTGAGGAAGGGTAGAGTTCAAATAAACAAAATGCACTAAGGGATGACTAAAGGCAGGTGGGGGATAGAACACAGAAGTGAATTTCCCTTCTGAGTATCCTCCCCTGCCTTTGGCTGCTGGGCTTTGATGTGGCAGAGCACAAAGAGGCTCCTCCTGTACCTGAGCTCTGTGTTCCAGGCAGAGCCCAGCCAGGTTATAAATCTGTAACGTTGCACTTCACCTTTTGTGTCTTGCTTAATGACCTTTTAAAAATAAATGCAGGATGGCTGAGGGGAACAGGATCAGTGGTGGAAAAGCTGACACGTCCGCAACCTGAGCTCTGATCCCTCTGATTGCTGCAGCCCGTTAAACAAAACTTCTTTTGCTTTGTGCTTTAAAAAAAATGAAAGAGGGAAAAGAGGGACAGGGAAGGGTTTTCTTAGCTGGGTTCTCTGTCTTAAAATGAAGCTGGAAAGTGCTTTGCTGGGGAAATGCTGCATGGAGTTACCTGCCTAAAGAACAAGGGTGCAGTCACCCAAATATCAAAATATATTCTATCTGCTATTTCATTTTCATGGAAAGCTGCTGTTTTAAGGTGCTTCTGCCCCTTTGGAATTGTCATCCTTCATTTCTCTTGCATAAAAATGACCATTTAAGATCCTCATCAGGCTCTTATTCTGTTTCCCACAGTACTAAATTTAATACG